GAACCAATCACACTTTTGGGGGGAAGAGCTGAATACAGAGAAATGGTGCACAGTAAGCCGCAAGGTCCTCAAAGGATCCTATGCAGGTTTTGTCCTTCTCATTGGATCGTTCACTACACAAAGCTATTGGACCCCATCTGACCTGCTATTCAACCCATAGCTGGGGGGAGAAAAGATGGATTCATATCTTTCCCAACTATATTAGCACATACGTGATAGTAATGAACTCGACTAGAATTCAAACTCGCCTCTCTGATTCCTCAATCTGAGCTGCAATCCATTACTCCACCCTGCCCCCTCTCTCTCTATCACACACACACACACACACACACACACACGTGTGTGTTTGTTTTAATGTATGCTATATTTATGGGTTAGTGCTCAGTATCAGATATAGGTTTTAAGCATAAAAGGGGATATTGTATTTAGCCTGAGACAATATTGTCCCCTCAGGGTGTTGACTTTGATGTCCACTTCTATATATTTACGCGCACACACACACATATATATATATATATATATATATATATATATATATATATAACTGACTGCTCATATTCCTGAAGTACACCCTATCTGATAGGGTGACTGACTAATCCCTGCTTCAGACGCCTGCTCAGGCACATATTTTTTTTCATCAATGCCATTGCCCATAGACTCAACCTATACTACAACTATTCTGTCTCTGGAAGAAGAGTGAATAATCTGCTGTGATCAGCACTCTGACAAGGCCAACACACACCAAACAAGGGGATCTTTACATGTCCGACCCTAATCATGCATCCCAGTTATGTGATTGCCTGGCCTTTTATAGGTATTGTTCTGGCTTGAATCCTTCTCATGCTGGCTTGTGACTCTGTGCTAACACAACCATCGATCAATTCTGAACAGTCTTCATTACCCAATATCACTCCTGACACTCGTGTCAACCATTTTTATGGTTTCCAGACCCTCCCCAATTATGTGACCAGCAGGGATTATTACCCGGGCCCCAATATTATCAAGAAGGTACCTCTTTGACCATGGTGAGCTTCAAATCTTTTTTTTAATTTTTATTTAAATTGTTAAAAAATTTTTTAAAATTTTATTCACAATGTTGCTCTATAAAAGGCTCAAGAGCCACTCTAGGTAGATGCCTACAGAGTAAGAGATAAAAGGCACAGTTTATGTAAATTCCATGCATATGCATGGAAGATAACATTCAACCCTAGACATGAACAGGTTAAGATATTGAGTGTAGCTTTATTTACAGTTTCTGGGAGTGCACATTATCTAGCATCAACAATCTGAACAATGCCAGTACGCTCAAACCCTCAGTCACGATGAGTTGTAACTTTGAGCTAACACAACCATCTATGACTCCCAATGGTTCTGTCTACCCAATTTCCCAAATGCTTTAGGACTCTATCAAGATTGGAAAGTTGACCTATTCAGTGGCAAATAAACATTTACACATCTGACCACAAATAACACAAATTCTCTTGATTTTATGGTCATAGTTCTTATGTGAATATTAATCAGCATTCCAAGAGCTTTCTAAAGATCTACAACTTGATTATATTGGGAGATATTAAAATGTTAGCATATAATGGTAAATAGCAAAATCCGCCATTTTGAATTTGGCCCAGCTCCTTAAAACCCTTGTAACTAGGCCACAGTCAAAAATCCACTACAAACTATTGTACATATCTTGTCATAAGGCAGACAAATTTGTTGTCAAATTCAAAAAAGATTAAAGATGTGATTTTTGAGAAATTAAGGTCAAGGTCAAATTATGTTATTTGACCTTTAAACAAAAGAATAAATAGATCACCTTTTAGACCTATCCAAGTACTTTAAAATGCTATGTTAGCTTTGTGGGTGAAAAAAACAACTGAGATATTGTTATTTAAACTTTGACTATTTTCCAAAATTCACCTTTTTGACAATGGTCATATCTCAGGAACCCTTTGACCTAGAAATGTAAAATAGGCACCATTCAATTTCTATCATGAAAGCTCTATATGTGTACCAAATTTGAAAAAAAAATCTGTCTATGACGGTCAGACCTTTGTTGATTTGACACAGAATGACTCACTTTGGGAATTTTTTGTTTCATTTTTGTTTTATAGTTCCTTTGTTTTGCTTTTGACTTATATGTGCATATATTGTGGGTGAAAAAACAACTGAGATATTGTTATTTAAATTTTGTGACTATTTTCCAAAATTCACCTTTTTAGCAAGGGTCAAAGGGTCACATTTTGGGAACCCTTTGACCTAGAGATGTAAAATAGACACTGTTCTATATCCAACAAATTGGTCAACATTTAGCCACAAATAACACAGATTCTGTTGATTTTATGATCATAGTTCTTGTGTGAATATTAATCTGCATTCAGTCTTCTAAAAATATACAACTTGATTATATTGGGTGATATGAAAATGTTAACATTTTGTGACAATAGCATAATCTGCCATTTTGAATTTGGCCCAACTTGAGCCACAGTCAAAAGTCCAACACAAAATTTTGTATATGTCTTGCCATAAAGCAAAAAAATTTGTCAAATTTAAAAAAAAAAAAAAAAAAAAATAAATAATGATATGCCTTTTGAGAAATTAAAGATCAAATGTTAAGGCCAAGGTTACATGGTTAATTTCCAGTATATGCACCAAAAGCCCCCCCCCTCCCAGTAATGAGAATGTATCATTCTGGTGTGAAATTGCCTGATTATTTCGAAAATGACATTAAAACATTGCGCTTGATTACCGTTTATGATTTATCAATGTAAGTCTTTCCCGTTGTCTGGCCACCATTACTGGTGTTTACATACGTTTGCCTCGAGTAGTAATGGGCAGAAGCTTACTGAGTTAACAGCCTTTTTTTTCTTTTTTTTTTTTTTTTTGCAGCTTTTTGTATCTTACTTGTCTTGATTACTGCACAATTTTCGCCGATGTTATTTTAAAATGAATAGTTTTTTTCAATGGTATAAATTCCTTTTTTCCAATTAGAAGTATTGATTCTTTTGGAACTGAAGCTTTTTTTTTCTTTTTAATTAAATTGTAATAGAAACAATTGAAAAAAACTTTGTTGAAGAAAGACAAGAACTTTATTTTACTTTTTTATCCTTTTTTATTTTATTTTTTTTTTTTTTTTCATTTGTACTAATATATTTGGAATCATGACTTTTTTTTTTTTTTTTTTGGCTTACTTTTAAAATTCTGCACATTCATTTTTAAACTTCGCTCATTGCCCAGTAATCAACACAAATGATGCTTCCACACATGTCTATTTGAGCAAACGTATGTAAACAAAGCCAGTAATTGTGGTGGTTCTGTCTACGCAACGAGAAAGAAGTTGTACTTACATTGTCCATAACTTCTAAACGGTAATCGAGTACAATGTTTTAATGTCATATTCAAAATAATCAGGCAATTTCACACCAGAATGGACCATTCTCATTGCCATGGGCTTTTGGTGTTTATTTGACCTTTATCTTATTTGACCTTCAAACAAAAAATAAATAGATTACCTTTTAGATCAGGGTGGGCAAACGTTTCAGTCCAAGAACCACATTCAAAAATTCACAATTTTATTGGGCCACATAGTATATTAGCCCAAAATAATACTTAAAATAGACAAAAAAAAGGCTTTTAAAGAAAAAAAATGCAATTAATTTTTATTAATTAATATTTTAAAGTACTGTAGAAGGTTCACATGAAACACATTTATTTGAAAGACAGTAACTCTATTTAAAATACTTTAAAGAAAAAATATTAATAAGTATTTTTAAGTTGAAGATTTACATGAAACAGATTTGAAAGACAAAATAACATTGTTTTAAGAAAAAATTATTTTTATTAATATTATAAAGTAGAAGACAAGTTAACTCTGCATAAAGAAAAGTTCAAGTTTTTTTGTTTTTTTTTTTAAGTAGAAACTTCACACTAAACAGATTTATTTGTAAAACAAAGTAACTCAGCAACAGAAGGATCTCAACGACTCGAGGAGAATGTATCTGACTGCAGTCATTTACTAGTTTGTTAAAATTAGGCGTCAAATTGCTTGTAACAATTATTTGGTGTTGCTTGGTAACTTTATCCTTCAAATTTACTAACATTTGGCAGGCCGCATGAATTCTTTTAGTGGGCAGCATGTGGTCTGCGGGCCATAATTTGCCCACCCCTGTCTTAGATCTATCCAAGTACTTTAAAATGGTATATAATTTATCTCTGTAGGTAAAAAAAAAAACAAATGAGATATTGATATTTAAACTTTGACTATTTTCCAAAATTCACCTTTTTGGCAAGGATCAAAGGGTTGTATCTTGGGAACCGTTTGACCTAGAGATATCAAATAGACACCGTTCTATCATGAAGCTCTATAAGTGTACCAAATTTGAAAAAGAACCTGTCGGTGATAGACCCTTGTTGATTTGACATAGAATAATTATTTTTCAGTCTGATCTGGCTCTTGTAGAAGATAGCAGGCGGAGTCAGGTACTTACTAGAGTTGTACAAAGAATCGACCATTTTTCCAGCATTTTTAGTGATGGCTCATACATACAAATTTTACTTGAGCTTTGGTTCCCAATGGATTCTCAAAACAAGGAGCCTCCCTGAGAGAACGCCCATACTTCGTGATAGGCAAAAATTCAAGCTCTGCTTGGTGATGATGTAATGACAGTAGCTTAGTTTTAATGGCATTGAATGTGACTAGCTAGTTTTAACCCCGCAGAGCTGTTAGAGCTAGCTCAGAGAAGAGATCAGTTACTAGGCTGTGGCTATCTTAAAATGAGTGGAAAAACATCATATATGTGGACACTATACTATTCTTTACTATAGTTGGAAAAACACAGCCATCTCAGTCACCAGGCAAAAATATTAACGGATCATAATGTGGTGTGAGTTAAATAGTGCAGAGGAAAGTGAGGATAATAAAATTATGTTCACAAGATTTCCAAGTCGCGAGGCCTTGAAAATCAGCATTTAAAAATTACCTTTTTTTTTTTTTTCTTTTGCAGAAGACTGTGATCTGTAAACCAAAAGTGGATGATTTTGGAGGAATTCCTGCTGGCTGCCAATGTGATCGTGAAAACAATCAACTATTTGTAGCTGACATGAGACTAGGTTTGTTGATTGTGCAGACAGATGGGTCCTTTGAGCAGGTAGACTGGACTATTTCAGATCTTTCTTTCAACCAAAGCACAAGGTCATTGTTTTGTTTTGTGACAGTAGGCTCTGTAAAAATTCTCTTGTATTTTGGCAATTATCATGCACATCAAAAACTGCTTTGTCTCTCTTGTTAGTAAAATAGACGGGGGCGGGGATAACATTAAGAAGCATATGTGTAAGCCTTCATACCACTGTCATGTCACATCAAGATGTGTGGGTCAAGACCCAAAGTCTCCATTGTATTTGGGTGATGAAACATTAGTATGGGACAACAGTGTTGTTTTTTTTTGTTTTTTTTTATTATTATCAGTTCACACCAAGCAAGGAGATAATGCCACTAAGATGCAAAGGGGGTACTGGAATGAAAGAGAATAAGAAAATCCTAAAAAGAGCCAGAAACCCAGCCCTAAACAGGAAACGAGGGATGAATCTGTACTTTTGTTCAAAAGACGAGGGAGGAGTGTGAACTGGACAATAGGCAAACCATCAACTCCCTTTTTGTTTTTTATTTATTTTTATTTTTATTTATTTTTATTTTTTTACAATATGAGGATGACAGAAAATTCCTAATGGGCACACACACCAAACTTTGTCACTTTCCTTTTAAACTGGGGTGAATGAAGGTTAAAGGATTCAAACAAAACATTGTGATGGAGATGATGAAACCTTAGTTTATGATGATTGACAATGCCAGCATGATACAAGAGTTTTAATTAAAATTATTTTAAAAGCAATTACTTCCTTCAAATCAAGGGAAAAAATTACTTCTCACCATTAGTGGAGGGCCTTTAATCAATGAAACCCAAAAATAATAAACAAATAATAGTCCAAATGCTGGGCTTACAGTGAAACACGTTTTAACTGAATGTACTCACTTAGCACCTATAAGATGTAAACGCTACAAGGAAACATAAAACTATCTGAAAATACTGAAACCATCAACATAATGTCCTATAATATTAAAGAAATAGGTTTATACTAAAACATATAACACCTACAATAAATCATATAATAAAACATATAACACCTACAATAAATCATATAATAAAACATATAACACCTACAATAAATCATATAATAAAACATATAACACCTACAATAAATCATATAATAAAACATATAACACCTACAATAAATCATATAATAAAACATATAACACCTACAATAAATCATCTACAAACTTACTTTTCCCTGAAAGTACAAAAATATGTACAAAATATATTTAATTGAAGGCATACAATTGTGTACAAAATATTTAGATTTCAGTATTAAATAACCCAGATAGGTTGATATATATTTTTTTTTCTTAAGCATTTCACCTCAAGTAAGGCAAGAGTGCCACTAGCACACAATGGGTTACAGAGAATGGGAACAAGAGTAAAGAGGTATGATAGAGGAAAGGATGAACAGAAGGATGGGAATAGATCAAGGCATCTGAAGATGTCAATTGACATTGCATTTGAATATTTGGAGATTATAGCTATCAGGGAAGCAAGTAAGATGAAGAGAGTTCCACAGACAGAAAGTGCAAGACATGAAGCTATTGGAATAGAAGAGATGGCTACATTTAACCACTTTGACAATGAAAGGGGTGGGACTGAGAAGCCAACCTAGTAGCCCGTTTAAATTCATGCAGTTTGAGAACCAGTGAAAGTAGCTTGTCAGAGCAGTTACCATGAAAGTATTTGTAGAAAAGACAGAGGGAAGCAATGGCATGTCTTTGAGAGAGCGACTGTAAACGAGATGCCAGATCAGGGTGAGTCACATTGTATATCCGTCTCTGGATTTTGTCAAGGATCTTAAGATGAACAGCGGGGTCTCCAGACTATATATGGCAGCAGTATTCCATGCAAGGGTGAATGGTTGATTTATAGATCTGAAGTATGGACTCTGGCAACAAAACCCTTCCTGGCATAACACAGAGAACCAACTTTCCTTGCAGTAGATGAAGCTATTGATTCAATGTAACTATTCCATCTGAGGTCAGAGGACAGTGTGAGACAAACTATCGCAAAAAAGTGCTGTCATGGATTTGAGCATCAAACATTCTAATGGGAGGCAGTGAGTGTAATCTGTGGTGGGTAATAGAGCAGTTTCGTTTTTGAGTCATTAAAGTTAATCAGCCATTTCCTGCCCCAGTCAACAACAGATTGGAGATCCTTTTAAAGACCAACAGCCAGGTTAGTTTTGTCAGCGATGCTGGATTTGCTATTGAGGCAGGAATAAATAGTAGTGTCATTTGGATAGATGCCTACTTGGGAACTGATGACATGTCGCTAAACAAAATCAATGAAACCAAACCAAAACCAAATGAAGGTTAAAGGACAGATTTATATATTTCTATGCTACGATTTACATACAGGATGTCCCTAAAATCTGGACACACAGACAAAAATGCATATTTTCAAGAAATGAAATTTTCAATATTATTGAACTGGAATATTAACAAATAACATCTTCAATATGATTTCCATTATTTGTGATGCAAGATTCACGCGAATTCAATGCAACAAGTGTTGTAAATGTGATTTTGATTTGGTACAATTTCTCTTAGCATAACCAAGAAAAAGAAGTCAATTCTTCTTTTGACAAAACAATGTTTAATCTGTGGAGATAAAAAAAAATATATAATGAATGAGGTTTCCTATATGTCCAAATATTAGGGACACTCTATAGTAAGTACCTCCACTATTTCAGCATAAATTTTTGATACCTAAAGTTTAAAAAGAATTTTAAAAAAATGAAAAAACATTCTTGAAGATTTAATTTTAGCTTTAATTGAAAGCTAAATGATTAAATTTTTTATTTCCAGTAAGTAAAATATTCTGGTGTATTTCAAATAGAAATTGTGTAGATTAGAATCTCAAATTTAATTTTGATTTCTTAAAAACTGCCATTTTCTTAATTTTAAGAAATTTGTAAACAAAACAAATTTATCGATTTTTAAAATTCTTCCAAAAAAATATATATTTTTGACATGTTATTTGAGTAAAATTATAAAATTTAAAGTTAAATTAATCTGATTTTAAACAAATATTACTTAAAGCATAAAAAACTAATATACAACCATTTGTTAATGATTGGTACTATTTACTGAACCAATAATTGATATATGATTGAATGATCAAATGATGACTGCTAGTTATGGATGACCTGAATTTACATGAATTTCCGAAAACTAATTTCAAATATGAATGAAATAAAGTTTAAAAATAATTTAAATTTATTAAACATTAGTTTTTAAATTAAATTAAATTTCTTTATCAAAATAATTGTCATTATTTGTAATGGGACAAAACTCTTAGATCACATGATCTTTTCATAATAATGTCAATTCGAGTCTACCATCGCCAAAAAGAAGGAATGTATTAAGTAATAAAATAAAAATTAAAAAATTATTTTAAAAATAGAATAGTGGTTATTAAACTTTTCAGTTTTGGATTCATAAATTTTGTTTACATTTAATTACTATATCACATCAAGGAAATAGTCCAATACAGAATTTTACATGATTTTTAAACTATTATAAATTATTATAATTAAAATTTAAGAAAAATGAAAAAATTCTTGTAAAAATTCATTATTCATCAGAAAAATTTTATTTCTTCAGACAATAGTGTCCTTAATATAACTTGTTTACAAAAGCAATTAAAAGTTTTTTAATTAAATAATGTCAGTCTTGTTGCATTTAATATTTTTCAATTCGGAGCAGATTTTCAGTTAGAACAGTGCAAATTTGAAAAAAAAAAAATTAGGTGATTTACATTCTCCAAGGAGTCCTACTTTTAACAAATAAAAAAATTCATGAAATAGAAAGGTATTTCACAAAATTTCATGAAATTAAGTAAGTGGGGTGGGGGAGTAACAGGTAAAAAAAAAAAAAAAAAAAAGATTTTTACCAAAACTTTGGTAAAAATATTTTTTTTTCATTCATTTCTGAATAAGTCCTGAAAATTTCATTAAAATTGGACAATTTTTTGATTTTTCACAAGAATTTTCAAATCCAGTGTGTATTCAATTGAAAAAATGCAAAAAGTCAATGTTATGACACCACCCCAATGACGTAAACAAAACAAGATTTTTATCCAAAATTTCAAACATGTTAAAAAGGATTAAAAAATTTAAAAAAATAATCAAAAAATATTTTGGTCTTTCATTTTAATAACATAAACATTTTGCCGATAAGACTTTATTTTTAGTTAGTTTGTGACCTTTTTCATTATACTATGCTGTTTTTCCCGTGAAAAAGTGGAGGTACCTACTCTATAGAATGGTCCACTCGTAAAAATATACAGGGAGCGATGGATAAATTGTCTAAATGCTGCAAAAATGGAAATAACACTGACATCGCATTTTAACAGATATATTTACCAAAATCACAAAGAAATACTAAAGAATAAATTTATTCAATAAAATTGCCATTGGCTTCCAGACGAGTTTGGAATCTCCTACAACTCTTCTGGATGGTCTCCATGTTTAAGTTGGTGAATGCTGCCATAATCCTCATCTTTCGTATTAGAAGACGTTTTGTTGGTGTCTTGCTCAACTGCACCCCACACATCATAATCAAGAGGGTTGCAGTCAGGGGAGTTTAGTGGCCAGATGTAAGGAGGTGATGTGATTGCATAAATTGTTTGAGAGTCATGACTGGGTTCTCCTACTTGTGTGGCATGGTGTAGAGTCCTGTTGCCAGACATAGGGTTTCCATCAGCCACCCTTTTCCCCCAAGGCAGCACCACCTATTTGATATAGGCCTCCGTGTTGAGTCTGAGTCCCTCAATAACAAATTGGGGAGTTCTTTTCTTCTTGGAATGATCAGAGTGAGTTTTGTGAGCTGCTATAACTTCATAATCACCATTAGACTCATCCAACTCTTTCTGAATCCTTTGCAATGTCCTCAGATTGACATCGAAACACTCTGAAAAGTTTGTATTGGAGCTTCTGGTGTGAATGCCAAGCAGTACAGCATGCTGTTTCCAAATTTCTGGCAGAGTGAATTTTTTTTTCATCTCATGGACAGTGCCATCAACAAAATCATAAATAGTCAACACATGTGGAAAATGAAAAAGTGGCGACAATTTACCCATCGCACCCTCTTAGGAAGAAAGTGATTTTTAAAATAATTTTTGTTGATCTTTAAACCTTTAGTCTTAACACTTGTTGGAATTGATAAATACTTTATTTTTTTATTTTATTTAGGAGAGTGGGGCGGGGCTTGTTCATAATATCAACTGAAACTGCTAAATTCTGATAATTCCCTTTACAAATGTCACTTTTTTTAGTTTTTAATTTTAATTTTTGGAAATTTTTAAAAATATAAATATTTTAAAAAATTCCCAAAATTAAGATTTTTTTTTTTTTTTGTATACCGAGTCATTTTTAAAACTTGGATATTTTAGCTTTTTAAATTTTTTTTGTAAATATTTGTGTTTATTTTATAGCACAAACAACTATAAATGGTAAAAAAAAATATTAAGAAAACATTTTGATTTCAAAAATTTTAAAATTGCGGGTGTGGGCAATTCCAGGACGATGGTGAAAAAAAAGTAGTCTGGAACCCTGTTTGGCTAGAAACATAATTTCCTGTTGCTTGTAAATATTTGAGAATAAAGTTTCACATACACGTAGACAACAAACATATCCAAGAGGCAGAAGAAATATAGTGATATTGAAAAATTTGTCATTTTAACAACAGCAGTTTGATCATTTTGGTTGTTTTCATATACCTCTTGGAATAAGTGAATGTGTGTTCATTTTTATATCTCTTTGCCATGTTGAAAAAAAAGTATATTTTTATATATATATATATATATATATATATATATATATATATATATATATATATATATATAATTTTTTTTTTTCTCTCATCAGCAGCTCAACTCTGAGTTTTATACCCAATGTAATTGTCAGGTGCTGAGTGATAACTGACATTTAACACATTTAATATTGTATTCATACAAAAATGTAAATACATGCACACATTCATTATTATATAGTATTTTATTAGCACCAACATCCAATGTGCAATATTATATATACATTTTCTGTTTATATGTAATTGTGGGACTTGGTTCATTTCATATATATATATATATATATATATATATAGTTATTGAGTCCAGAAGAATCCATGACAGAAAGCAGGAAACCCTGAAATGGGCGTGTTTTGTCCTATATGGGACTCATCAGCAATGCACATCCACTACCGAGAATTGAACGCAGACCATTACGATACAACACAATGGTACTCATCCAAGCATTTGAAACCCAACAGCTTGTGCCACAAGACTCACGTCTTCTTTCTCCAAGCTGCTCAATCCAGAGCATTAGAAGCTGTGTCAAGCAAGGATATACAAGTAATAGAAAAAAATTGGGGGATTGGAATAATGAGATATATATATTTTAAGACATTTTTATGTTTATACATTCTTTTTATACATACAAATATTTAAGTAAATATAAAAAGAATGTATAAATATAAAAATGTCTTAAAATAATTGTCGGACTTTGTCCATTTCATAATATATATATATATATATATATATATATATTTATTTGTCCCTGTTCTAAGTATGACAGTAAACTACATCCAGCAGCAAGGACACTGATCAGGTTTTGAGGAGTGTGGAACCACCTCGTAATTGCTGTTGTTCCCAGGTCCACCCTGATCCGGGCTGGTAGCACTTGTTAGTGTTCCAGCTATGGGCAAATAATTAACCCCCAAACTGGCGGAAAAGCACCGTGAAAGTATAAAAACAGACTTTTATAGTAAAATTACCAGCAATATATTTTTGAAAAAAATATTACCAGCAATAGATTTTTTTTTTTTTTTTTTTTGAAAAAATGCAAAGAAATATTACCAGTTATACATTTGACTATTGACAAAAACCCTTTTTACAAAAATAGGTCAATGAAACCTAATCTTCTACAAACTGACTTCTTACAAATACATATTCTGTTCATATGAATGTATCTTAAAAATGTTGTTAGCATTAAATAACTCATCAAGGTTGGTATGCCATAAAACAAAATAAACTATAAACCAATATTTCACCCAACAAATAATTATTTTTCAACACCATCCTTTCCTTTTCAATGCACTTAATCCAAGCACTTCTCCATATTAGATAAGACTTTTTATTTTATTTTTCATTCTTTATTCTTTACAGATTGCCAAAAAAGATGCTGATGATCGAGTGATGCAGGGATGTAATGATTGTGCCTTTGACTATCGTGGAGATTTGTGGATTACTGCACCCGCAGGGGATATTGCACCTGCAAAATACACCCGTTCAATGCAGGTGGGAGTCATTATCTTTCCTTTGATTAGGTGGGAGGGAGAAATTCTAATATTTTTAACAATATTAGTGAAATCTTAAAAATGGCTTTGAAGTTTTACCCCCCCCCCCACCTCTTTTTTATTGCTTGTGTGACATTGTCACAACATCCTGTATTGTCTGAATGAGTGTTTGGCAACTATGGCCATTTTTCTTTAGTACATTATTTCAGTTATAAATATGATCAGTGGAATGAGAACAATGTACATCTGTAGATTTATTGAGATGGGTGGGGAGTGTGAATGTTTATGAAATCTTGTTCTTGGTTTTCTTACTTTTGTCTGGGATTCTATCATTCCTCCAAGATGGTAAATTAATATTTATGTGCAATATTACATGAAATAAAATATGGACAGTTTTTGGTGTGCATGCAACAAGATATAACATGTTTATTAAATGACTGAATTTTGATTACACACACAATTGCTTAGGTAATTGATCCATCTTATTCACAGAACATACATACATTATATATATATATATATATATATATATATATATAGTGAACATTGACATCAACACTTAAAGGCGTCAGGCCACAATTGCGTCTAGCATGAAACAGCCTGTTGCTTCCAAGTGTTGACTTCAATGTTCACTTTTATATTTACACACACTCTATCTCTGATATTGAGCACTTTATCCCATAAAGATAGCACACCTTAAAAAGTGTATATATATATATATATATATATATATATATATATTGATTTGTATGTATTAATGTAGGGCAAGAAATGCTTTTAGGCAAACCTGTATGAAGAGACATTTGTCTTGTGAGCTCATTTAAGCAAACACGTTTTTCTGGTCTAACAGTTGGTGGTCAGAGAGAGAAAGAGAGACACTTTGCAATATTACATGAGATAAAATATAGACACTTTTTGGTGTGCATGCAATGATTAATTTTTGATTAAACATACAATTGCTTAGATAATTGATTCATATTTACAGAACATACACACACACACACACACACACACACACACACATATATATATATATATATATATATATATATTAATGCAAAGAAAGAAATGGTTTTAGGCTTATCTGTATGAAGAGACACCTCATCTTGTGAATTCAATTAAAAAACTTGTCTTTCTGGTCCAACAGTTGGTGGCCAGAGAGAGAGAGAGGAACTTTGTATTCTTGTGCTAGAACTGTCTTTCTAGTGCATTATGGGAATTCTCCTTCGCTTCCTTTACTATAACCTAACAGAGCAGGGGATGTAACTCCTGCTTCTTATTTATGAATTAAGACAGATTGAATAAAATGCATATTAAAGAAGGTCCTCATTAAGACCTGCAGGCTTCATTCTCCTGAAACCACCTTTAACTATGTGAAAAAGCAGTTGTATACAACTGACAGTTTAGATGTTTCTGAACAAATATGGTATCTTGCATGACATACGAACACCTTGATCAGACGAGACTATTTAAGAACACGACTCAAGGTTTTATGTTAATGTTTTAGCTTTGCATCTGGTGTTCATAAAACTATTTGCAGCAAAGCTTGAACACTTCCTGTTTTCAGGAGAATTTTGACTATGGTTTGGTTTGTCTGATTTATTGTTCGATTTATTTTTTTTATTTTTTTTTACAGCTTATCAACTTTTGCAGTTTATTTAGAGCCAGTAAATATTTCTATATTTCAAGATTATAAGTGTGTGTTGTTTTTTTTTTTTTTTTTTTAAGTAATAATTATTTACTGGTACAAGCCCTACAAGTTAACCCAGGGCCAAAGAGGTTACTTCACAACTTTCATAATATATTTTTTTTTTTTTTTTTTTTTTTTTTAGTGCATAAATGAATATAACAAACCCAACAATACATTTTATCAGTGATTGAAGACATACGATTGTTTTCAAAATATTTAGCTTTCAACCAATATGGCATGTATAAAAATCAAAACATAGTTAACTCCCTTGAATCGTATCAATGAGATTACCTTTGGATTTTAGTGACAATGGCAGAGGCATGCACTCTCTGAGTACTTTCTACTCTTTTTTACTCAATTTATTTTTTTAATTTTATTTTTTAAGGAGAAATTTGGCAGTGTTTACTGCTTCACCACAGACGGTGAGATGATCCGAATAGACACTGGCTATCAGTTTCCAAATGGTATTGCCGTTCAACATATGAATGATGGGCGTCCTCGCAAACTCATTGTGGCAGAAACCCCAACCAAGAAACTCTGGAGTTATGACATCAAAGGTCCTGGGAAGGTTGAAAACAAGAAGGTGTGGGGTAATATTCCAGGTAAGAATTCTTTCAACCAATGCATTTTGTTTGTAGAATTGCAGTTGGTTTATTAGTGGAATTAACAGGCAAGATTCAAAAAATTTAGGGAAGAGTTGTAAATCTGTTTGTTCCTCCTTTAGTTAAAGGCATTTTGCCCTGCTATTACCGTGGATAAATAATGGATCATGCCATATGAGGAAAAAGTGAAGAATAATTTATATCTGATGCTGTCTGGTCTTGGTGAGAAAAGAAAGTGTACACAATAAGAAAATGGAGGTGATAATGCTCTTACATGTTTAATGTCTGCTTCATTGGAACAGAAAAACTTGTCACTCTTTAATCTTTCATTTGTACCCTCTTACTTTGTTAACCTTTACCACACAGGAGGCAAAAATTGTTGCTGTAGAATTCTCTCCCTTTGCTGCTCCAGGCGCATTATGTCTCCTAGAAACGGTTGCTATAAATAAACACTTGTCAACTATTAATTCCAGTATTTTTAGCCGGAATTCACCTACTACTGCTTTGGAACAAGGCTAAACTTCTGTTTTCTGAAACCATGTTGAATTCTTATAGACTTTACATGAGGTGTAACATCAATTAAACCCACGTTAAGTTTTTGTTTTTTTTTCTTTTTTTTTTTTTTTTTTTTTTTTTTTTTATAAACAAAGATGGCCACAACAACATACAACTAAGCCTTTATTCAGGAGTTTTTCTTTGATTTGGATTCCGATGATGATTTTGAATGCTTTACCGAAGTGAATATTGATAGTGATGTGGTCGAGGATCCAAGCTAGTGACATATAGGAAAATGATGACGATCACTAGTGGCTACTATTATCCATGACTGACTAATTTTATGGAAGCTAATGGTGACCATCAATAGCTTTTCTAAAGGTGAATTATTTAGTCTATAAACTAAGAAATAATAACTTTATTTGTCAATATGGCAAATAAATGTGCTAGTCGGGTCAAAGTAAGACCAAACAAATGCTGGTGTCTTGTATGTAAACACAAGGAAGCACATCGCTTTTTGGATAAAATGAAAGCCGCCTTAGCCATTTTGTTTATTATTGCATCCCTAAAACTCCACAAGGAATAGTAAGTTAAAGTATGTGTTTCTTATGTTGTGTTTTCAATTTTGTTTTCAACATGCATGCAAAACGTAATGCATTACATCAAAATATTACTCCTACATTCTTTTATTTGTGAACAAAAATCTATACACACAATACAAAGAAAGTTATAACAATTTTAAAACAGTCTGTGTTTGTTTTTGGACCCTCAAAAGACAAAAAATGAAGTGGCAGGGGAAACAATTGTAGAAATAATTTAGCAAGGTAAAAGTTAAATAACGACCTGCTTTTATATTTATGATTGGTATTGTGATATTTTGTTAAAGTTGTTAAGCTCAAAAATTTAACACAGCAATAGACGGATTTTCGCTGCTATTTTATAATTGTGGATCTTGGTGTTTATTCAATTATCAAATGAAGAATTATAATAATTTCTCAGAAAATTGAAAGAGCAAAACTGAAATATTCACTAGTATTTCTAGTCAACAAGCTTACAGCCATATCACATTGAAACGATGGTTTTTGTATGATCACCAAAGTTAAGCAAAGTTGGGTCTGGTCACTACCTAGGTGGGTGACCACTTTGGCATACAAGGTGTTTTATACTTGTATGTGCAGATGGTTTAATGAATAGCAGTTTAGTCGCCCTGTCAGCTGGGGCTTCAGAATATGCCGACTGCACATGGATAAGGCTCCCCCAATGAGGTGTCTTGGGTATGACGATAAACGCCATCTGGCAGCAAGAGTTTTTGAGGAGCATGGAGCCACCTCTTAATTGCTGGTGTTCCCAGGTTCACCCTGAACTAGGGTGGTAGCACCAGTTAGGGTTTCGACTATCGGCAATAACTTCCAAACTGGGGTCAAAACACTATGAAAGTAAAAATACCAGCAATAAGTTTTTGAAAAAAAAAAAATATTAATGGCAATGTATTTGACACTCAACAAAAACCCTCTTTACAAAAATATGTCGGTGATACCTTATCTACAAGTTGATTTCTTACAAAGAATAGATATTCTTGTGGCACCATTTACGAGGCAGAGAAAGGAAAAGAAAGAAAAGAAGGCAGAAAGAAAGGCGAGACTAATCGTGGGTGATCAGCAGAACACACACACGGTTAAGAGACAATGAAAATATTGATAAGTAACAAATGGCGAAAAGGGTGTCATTACAATGACAGGGAAATTCTGAGTAAAAAAAAAAAGAAAGGAAAGAAAGAAAGAAACAGATGTGTTTTGATAACGGCTGTGTTATCTAGAGTGCGAAACAAAACGGCTGGTCGGGTGACCAGGAAAAATTCAATTGAAAACGTTAATTTTGATAATTGACAAAACACAGGTGTAAACTACAGGACTTTGGGTAGATATGAAAAATTAAAAGCCACCCAAGCCGTGTCCGCTGACCGATTTATTTATTTATTTATTTTTTTTTTTTTTTTTTTTCGATTTAAACAACTTTGGCCTGCGATAATAAAATTATGTTATCAGAAATATGTACCAAGGAAAATGAATGGGGACCCAGAAGTGTTTTTTCTTCCTTGGAGGCGACAGACTGACTGAAACTTTAGAGATATTTCTTTTTTGAGGCCGTGTTAAGAAGACCACCCATTTTGATAATTAGCGATAAAATACCTGACAAAAAACCATGTGTAGAACAAGAGTTGTCATATTGTCCGTTGGCGGCTAGAAAATGATAACGGCAATTAAAGCGGAAGAAAAGGGAAAGAGAAGAGATAATTTTTTTTAGTTAAGCAAGATATTTCCCCGAAACAAAGCCGCGGATTGTTCACTCCCGACTAAGACATCATTGGTCAAGTGGTGATCACGTGGCCTTTGAAGGAGGCTGTCGACGCCTCATCCAGAGTATAAGTATGAGAAGCTGCTACGAAGAAGTGGGGAGGGCAGTTCACGCCCCTCTGAAGTATGGTGAGAAAGTGGGAGTAAGGAAAGGTTCCCAAAAATGGAAAAGAGTGGAAAATCCTAACCCGAAATAAGAGGTGGATATGTATTTAGAATTATCGAGGAACCCCCACGCCGACAGACCCACCCCGGTTTTGGTCGGCGCTAATAAAAGGCCCCAACAGGCAGAAATCAGAGAGTTCGGGCTCCAGCAGAGAGTGGAGTTTCCAGAGTTGAAGCCACCTTTTGCAGATAGCTGACCAAGATTCACGCAAAATTCCGGACTCCTCTCAACCCAAGAACAATTATTTTGAAGAGCGACCACCGAAATAAGTTTTTTTTTTTTTTTTTTCGACTTTCGTCCAAAGACACACCAAAACGCCAATTTCTTAGAGAGCAAACAACTTGAAGCGTTAAAAACTTGCCTAACGGAAAACGACGTGTCACAATCCACAATAACGGTCGGGAGATAGATGCAGTCTATGTATCGAACAACCAGCATAAAGTTTATTACCTTTTTCTTTGATACTTTGAACTTTTGAGTTTTCATTTTTATTTCTTTTAATATTTGTGTAGTATCACCCGTTGAACTTCGGTTTGCGTTCATTTACAACCTGTTTGATCTCGTCTGTCTAAGATCAATTCTGGCGTGGAGATAGGCAACTGGAATCAATGCAGTTACCTTGGTAACCAGGCGTTGGAAGCGAGTTGGGAGCGGCGAAGGCTGATATCAAATCTAACCAGATTCCCACCGAATCACCAAAAAGGTTAAACGTCACATTTTGCCTTGACCCGATACCAAGCCAGTTGGTCATCCCAGAAAGACAACATGACTGATCATGACAGGGAGTTTGGGCGACACCCAAACAGAGGAAGCGAACAGCTGGCGCCATATGGCCGGGGCGTCTGGTGGTGCTGTTGGAGGCGTCACAACTGGGCGCCGTGGTAGATCAAGATAGAACGTCACAGTCGGCGCTGCGACTGGGGGACGACGTCACATTCTACTCATACAAAACTAACTTAAAAATTTCGTTGGCATTAAATAACCCATTTAGGTTGATATGCTGAAAAACGAAATAAACTAAATCAACTTGTATCAATAAATTATTATTATTGTCTTCAATCAATTGTTACCTGTCCTGGGTAAGACGTTAAACTACGTCCAGCAGCAAGGCCTCTGATCAGGAGGTTTTGAGGAGTGTGGAACTACCTCTTAATTGCTGGTGTTCCCAGGTCCACCCTGACCTGGGGCGGTAGCACCTGTTAGGGTCCCAGCTATGGGCAAATAGTTAACTATTACCAGCAATACTTTTTTGAAACAAAATTATTACCAGCAATACAATTTTGAAGGAAAGATATTACCAGAAACACATTTTTGACAAAACAAAATATTACCAGCAATAAAAAATTTTGTTGGCATTAAATAACCCATTCAGGTTGATATGCCGTAAAATAAACTAAACCAAATCAAACGATTCTTACAATCTAAAAATATTCTCTGGCTTTAAAAAAAACCTGCAAAACATTTGATAATCTGATAAAACAAAAATCTGCCAATCAAACCTCATTTTATGTGTTTTATCTAAAATGTGACACCAAGAAAATGAAAAAAAATGGCAATAAATAAATACTTTGACTTTAATATATTCATATCTTCAATGGATCATCTTTCATCTTCCTTAGGTACTCATGAAGGTGGTGCAGATGGAATGGATTTTGATGAGGACAACAACCTTCTTGTGGCCAACTGGGGCAGCTCGCACATTGAAGTGTTTGGCTCAGATGGGGGTGAGCCAAAACTAAGAATCCGTTGCCCTTTTGCAAAACCCAGCAACTTGCAGTTCAAGCCTCAGAGCAAGACTGTTTTTGTCACAGAACATGACAGCAATTCTGTCTGGAAGTTTGAGTGGCAAAGAAATGGTAAGAAACAATTCTCTGAGACAATGAGCAGCTTTGGCCAACTTTAAAATGAAGACCTACTCACAAAAAAAAAAAAAAAAAACAAAAAAAACCTTTGCTTGAATTTCAGGTGAGGTGCTTTTATTTTTACTATTATACATTGATTCTTTAGCAAAGTTTAACAAACATGCCTAAAAAAAGAAAAAATGGTGTTTTTAAAAGGACGATTTTCCCCTTAATATTAACATATAATCTCTCAGCAATTTTTTTTAGTTTGACAAAGCTATTTTTAAAATATTAATAAAAACAAGAAATCTTCCCTCGGCCTTTCCTATAAATACTTTCATGGTAATTGTCCTGATCAACTTTCCTAAGAGTTGATATTCCTAAGAGTTGATATTCCTAAGAGTTGATATTCCTAAGAGTTGATATTAAACTACCAAAAAGTCAAAGAAAATTGCTCACAAAGTATCTATGTATAATAGCAAAAACACCTCAACTTTGGAATTCCGACAAGGAAGGCCTGAGAATAGAGCAGCCGAATCAACGTGATACAGTGGTGTAAAATAATCAAGATATACAAATTGATTTTTCTTAAGGGTTAGGGAGAAATGAATTTTTAAAGATTGGGATTTGTGATTCAAAGCCTTCTTTATTTTTATATTTGTTTTAATTGTTCAAAATATCTTATTTTTGAGGCACATGTCTGCTATGGATATTCTAGCTACTGATAGCCCAGTGCCTTGTTTTGTGTTTTTGATGTTACCATTAAAGAATTAACTGATCCAATCACAATATTGGCAACCATTTTTCTCAAAATTTATTTTAAGTATGTTTGCCCGTTTTTTTTATATGGATTATCCAAAGTGCAACATCAATAATACAAAAAAATGGCAATAGCTTTTACTCTTGTCAGCCCTATTGTTGTGCTTCAAGATCTTTGCCGTTGTTGCTGATGTGTAAACCTGAAATTGCTCTTGGTGCAAAGTATCTAAACACAAATCATAGATGAATGTGGAAGAAAAAAATTATATCATATTTTCAATTTGCCCTTAACAATAAAATATTATTCGAAGAGGATTGGGCAGAAAAAGGATTGCAGAATATTGTTTAACTTCTTTTTTAAAGCTTCTGTGACAGAAATGGTAAAATTGATGTCCATTAAAGATGACTTCTCAAGGTGAGGCATATGAAAACAAATCCCAGCAGAAGGATCATGCTGTTGATTCGAGCAAAGTAGATTATCCCAATATGAAGAGAAAGTAAAACTATAATCATGAAACATCTTTACTGCTATCTTGGATATTTGAACCCTTATAGAATGTCATCTAAGTTTTTAATCACTTTTACCATCAGAAATTGCTGTATAAATTAAAATTACATTGTACTTTATTTTGATGAATAAAATTAAATTTATAAATATATTCATTGCTATCTTGAATATTTGATCATTTACATAATGTCATCTGTTTTTGCTAGCAACAAAAATTGCTATATGAAACAACTTGTGTTTTATTTTGATAAATAAAATGAAGCCTGTTAATTCCCCTCTCCAAGTTCTCCACTGCCTTAACCAGGTATTGAACTCACACTCTTTGGGTCCTGTCACTTGATCTAACTAACGCCTTTATCCACTGTGCCATGTGTCCTTGTTACCTCTGTATTTCAAATTAAAAAGAGTTGTCAGCTTTTCCAAAGATTTAGGTGTGTCTGAAAAAAACCTCACTGATTGGTCAATAAATGCTAATGTGGAAATTTTATCTGTCTATATTTCTGAGATGAGGTATTATGTACACTGTTTATATTATTCGGACTATTGCTATTGTCCTCATCTTCGTCGCCATATTTATTATAATGTTTCTGCTGTTGTACACTCCAGCCTTCTTCAGGTGTTTGGAATGTCGAACTGAACCCTTTATTTTGCTCACTGGTGTAGACTGTTCTAGTTCCACGTGCCACGTTTAATGGATGTCAGTTATCTCCTGTTTATTCCCCTCTAAAAGTTCTCCACTTAACCGGGTATTGAGGACACATGGCACAGTGGATATAGGCGTTAGTTAGATCCAGTGACGGGACCCAAAAAGTGTGAGTTCAATACCTGGTTTCATGGTTATGTAAAACTGTATTTAAACAGTGTTTTGTAGCAGCCTACAGAGGGGTTGCTAATTTATGAAGAATCTTAATATAAAGAATATACAGGAAAATCTTGAAGCCAAAAACTTGAGTCCCATCAAAGGCAGAGTTCTTAATAAAAAGGTCAAAGTTGTATTATTGGCAAACAACCAACAATCTTTACCACATTGCAACAACTGTTGCAGTAGAATTCTCTCCCTTTGCTACTCTAGGCGCATTCTGTCACCTTGAGACGGTTGCTATAAATAAACACTTGTCAACTGTTATTTCCAGTATTTTAAGCTGGAAATTGCCTACTACTCCTTTGGAACAAGGTTAAACTTCCATTTTCCAATGCCATTTTGAATTCTTTTAGACTCTATATGAGGTGTAACACCAATTAAAGCCATGTTAATTTTTTCACAATTTTTTTTTTAAATGGCCTCATCAATATCCAACAAAGCCTTTATTTAGAACTTTTTCTTTAATTAGGACTCCGATGATGATTTTGAAGGCTTTACTTGAGTGGGTATTGATAGTGAAGTGGTTGAAGATTATAACCATGCTAGTGACATGCAGGAAAGCAATGATGACCACTAGCAGCTACTATCATTCATGCCTGACTAATTTTATGGAAGGCACACCATTTTGAATTCATCTAGACTCTACATGAGGTGTAACACCAATTAAAGCCATGTTAATTTTTTCCACAATTTTTTTTGTAAACAAAAATAGCAATTATAGAGGTTAAAAATGTAGATTAAATAATTTCTTTTTTTTAATTTTGTTAATGATATCTCATTACAGGATATAGGTGATCATGGCTCTCCACAGATTCCTTATATGTGAATTGCTTTGATTCTTGGTAAAGATAGTGGAGTAGTTTCCTGTTGCCTTCTATATGGTTTTGAATTTGGTCTAGTTCTTCTCCTAGACTGGCTCCTATCCAAGGCTAGAGAGCCTCCTAATCTATTTTGCATTCTGTGTTGATAACAGTTACGTTACCTGAACATCCACATTAAGTCCAACAGAATCAATAAATAAAAAACCAAGGAGAAAAATTTTAATAAATTCAACATTTCACAATTACTCGACGTATTGGGCTAAAGGAAAGTTAAGACACACTGTATATCATGATTTTCACATTTGGTATTAGACAAGTGCACCTAAGGAAATAGGCATATTGTTTAGTTGTAGATTGGCACAGCTTAAATTGATTGGTCCATCCATAAAAATTAGGGAACATTTTTGTAGATTAGCATTCATTAAATCGTCCAAATTGAAAAAAATATTTTTTTTTTTTATCAATTTACAAAGGGAGGTGGGGCTATAACATTGGGACTCTTTTTAAAAAGTAATTAGACTGTTATCTATGAATGTCAAGTTTGGAACTGCATTTTTTACTTTTTTAATTTTATGGATTAAAAAAGGGAGGGGACATTTTTCGTAAGCAAAAAAAACATTGAGAGATAATAAATATTCATCTTAAATGAAGAAAAAACAGACATACTTTTTTTTATTAATATATGTAACATTTTGTCCTTTAATTAAAACTATATATATCTGATTAAGAAAAATCTTTTTGAAAAGAAAAAAAAAAGCTAAGCGCAATAACTCTATAAAAGTTAGGGTTCAATTTTACACAGTATCAATATTATGAGTTCCTCCCTTCTAAAACGCTGAAAAAAAAAAAAAAAAAATCAATATTTTGCAATTCTGACAAATGCTATGACCTGATGGTAATAGTGATGGCAATATTAGCTGTTTCCTTATAAGGAAATATTTGGCATTCATTGATCAAAAAGCCAGAACTACTGTTGGTTGAAATTTATAACATCTTTCTCTTAAAACATTTTTCAGAAAAATGTTTCTCATCAGCTATCATGTCTCTTTTCAGAATTGATGGAGGTTTCCTTCCTAACCTTTTGTTTGAAGTTGTGTGGAAGGTCAACATCTTGATTATGTCATTATTTTCTCTTTTGAGTTACATGTGCTATCCATTTTCCTTGTTGGCATTGAAAGTCCTCAAGTGCTGGAATTTCTGTTATTTCGTAGAGTTAAAAATTACTTCTAAGAAATTTGTTCCTTATTTTAATTTCAATGAGTGGACCAATCTATTTAAATAGGACCATGTAGAATTATTTCTTTTATACAAAATGGAAAATAAAGTTAAAAAGATATGAGAAAAAAAAAAGAGAACAACAATATTTCTTTTATTTACTTTGTTTTCAAGTGATGGGATGTCGAGAACTGAATACTTTTTGGCCATTTTGTGTGGAAGCTCTGGCAAATTTTAACAGCATGCTACCAATATTTTGTTTCTCTCCTTCCAGGTCCCTGACAAAACAAAAAAAAAAACAAACAAACAATGTAATAGCAGCAGCAAGGTGGTCTGGTGTTACCTAGAAGGAAAAATACAGGGTGATTGAAAAATAACTCCCTATATTATGTACAAGTGACTAGTCAGGAGTGCTGTGACTTTTTCCTTGGGGTGGTCAAAGGAACAAGTCTACTGTACTAAAGCAAGCTTCGAAAGAACTTCAATGGTTAACACAATAAGTTATATCTTCCATGCTACAAGAGTTCCTGGTGAAGTCAGTTGACATGATTCCTGGGCAGCTCGAGAAGCTGGTAGTGAAATCCTGTGCCCATATTGAATTTTAAATAAAACCTCATGCTAAACACTTTCCTTGCATATCCATTTCTTTTAAAAATTATAGTTAATAAATAAATTATAAGTATTTTAAAATGGGAAGTTATTTTTCAATCACCCTCTATATTGTAAAGCAAGACTTTGGAAGAACTTCAACGGTTAATACAAAAAGTTATGTCTTCCATACTGCAAGTGTTCCTGATGAAATCAGTTCACACGATTCCTGGGCAGCTCAAGAAACTGGTAGCGAAATCTGGTGCACATATCAGATTTTTCAAAAAATTTTAAACTACAATTCTCCATGAGGTAGAAATGGTTTTATTACTTTTATTAACAGTTTATTTGATAATGTGAATCTTTTCATGTACGTTATTGGTTATTGCACCAAGGCCGATGTTAGCCTACCGACAAACATCATTCAGAATTTAAGGTTTCTTTTTACAAATTGTAGTTTAAGACGACCCCCAATTTTTAGGATTTAAAGGGGTTCTTATATGCGGAAATTGTCCTCATCTTTGTCGCCATATTTATTACAACATTTCAGCCATTGGTTGGAATGTCGAACTGAACTCTTTATTTTGCTCACTGAACTCACACTCTTTGGGTCCCATCACTGGATCTAACCAACGCCTTTATCCTCTGTGCCATGTGTCTTTGAGGACATCTGTGTATGAATTTCTGGGTCTTCAACAAATATTTTTTACCAGTGCTCATATTGCAATTTTTGCTGTTATCATTGCAATACTCGGTTAAGGCAGTGGAGAACTTGGAGAAGGGAATTAACAGGAGATAACTGATAACTGACATCCATTAAACATGGCACGTGGAACTAGAACAGTCTACCCCAGCGAGCGAAATAAAGGGTTCAATTCGACATTCCAACCACCAAAATTCACTTGAGGATGAAATGGAACTAATGTCTTTAATTTAATTACAAAATTAAACTCAAAGCATTTAGCTTCCATTTTTGAAACATGGTTAGAACTGTGTAGCGAAAAAAAAAACATTTTAAATCAATTAATTTATAATATTAATGCTCTGTAAATTTACATTGAGCACTATTTTGTAAAAATAAAAATATCTGTAAGAACACCAGATTATATATCTTACTGTTCTTTCTTTTTATTTATATATACATGTATATGTATGTATGTATGTATGAACTCCAGCATGCACAGGAGTTCATGGATCGACTATCAGGTTTTTGGACTGTCCATCAGCCTTGACAAGAGAGTGGTGATGTGTTACCTGCCTGAGGAATTCAGTATATATAGCCATCAATTTATGTTGATAGTAGACAAATTTGTATACCTTGGTAGCACCCTCAACTGCCACTGCTCTCTTGATGATGAGATAGTGTTACTGATTAAGAAGGCCTTTGATGCATTTGCAGTGCTCAAGTTCTGTGTTTGGAGTCAGAAGGGCATAAAAAAGCAGACAAAAATTAAAATATATAATGCCTGCTATATTCATGTGAGATATGGGTAGTCTATTGCAGACATCTGAAGACACTGGAATGTTTTCATCAACGCTGCCTTCGGTCTGTGCGTGAAATCCACTGTATGCCTCACACCCCTGATACTGTTGTTCTACAAAGGACCAATTCACTTTCTGTGGAAGGAATTATACACAAATACAGACTGCGATGGACAGGTAATGTTATTTGTATGGCTGATGACAGAATGCCAAAGCAATTAATGTATGGAGAATTAGAAATGGGAAAAAGACTGCAACACAAGCCAAAACGTTGTCACAAAGATTGCCTTAAAGAGTCACTATACAATATTGGTCTGGATAACTGGGAGACTCTAGCTGAAAACTGGGTTTCTTGGAGAGCTGGTATTTTTTGGCGGCGTCAAGATCTTCCATGAGGCATCACAAAAATATGCAGAACTGAAGAGAGGAGTTCGGAAGGGATCCTTGAATTGACATGGGGTGCCAACCTGGCCATGTGCCAATGCAGTCGGATATGTCTGTCCAGGGCGGGTCTGCTTAGTCACCAGAAATCACACCAACAGTCTATTGCATATGACAATGTTGTAATGGCATGCTTTCAATGCCCAACCTGCACTAGGGTGTGCAATTCCAGGTCAAGCCTGATAAGGCATATAAAAAGACACATTGGAAGTGATGATGTTCAAAATCAAATTCCACCACCTGGAGATGATTTGATATGCCACAAGAAATGCAGATTGATGGCTGGCTTTATGAGCCACTGTCGTTCACACAACAAATGAATGCAGTGGGGGGGGGATTTAACTGGTGGAATGGACATGTCAGTGATGGTCATACTCACTTTGTGTATCGATAACCACTATATATGTATGCATATAGAATCAACCATTCTTAAATTTTAATTCTTTTAATAAAGAAAAAAAAATTACTCTTGACTATTTTATCAAAAAAAAGGCAAAGAAATTTTTAACTTACTTGAGGTAGGGTGTAATTTCTGTTAATGTCCATTTCTCTTGGGTTTGGAACAAGATATTGAATCTAAAAAGAAAAAAAAAAGTTTTAGAATTCTATAACCCTGGCTTTTATCCTTGGGGGAGATGTTCAAAGAACTCCCGTTGATGCCCAAAACTACAGATAGTACCATACTTGTGTACTATGATTTCCATCTTCCTACAAACACATACCTAAGATAAAGATTAATTCGTAAATTATACACTAAAATAACAACAGACTGTAATAAATATTATTTGATGGATAAAAAATGTGTTTTTATTGTACTTAATAAAATGTGCAGTAATTAATTAACGACAATAACTAATAATAAAATTCTGTATCTATAGAGTCTTGATAAAATCCAAAGAATCTGTAATGTTATCGGTCTTGACCTGGCATCTTAGCTTCAGTCACTTTCCCACCACTGTAAAAAAACTTGCCTTGGTCTTTTCTATAAATACTTTCATTGTAATTGTTCTGATGAGCTTTCTTCTTTGGGACCTAGACTTCACAAATTTAAGCGCAGTACTAGATTGGCAATAAGGTCTCATCATTTTACAGTTGCAATTGCTAGATGTAACTGTAAGTTCTATGTTAACAGTTTCTTCTCTCATACTTCTCAGGCTTATAGCCATATTATGTTGAAACAGTGGTTCCCATATGACCACCGAAATTAAGCAGTGTTGAGCCTGGTCAGTACTTAGATGGGTGACAGCTTGAAAATACCATGCCCTGTAAACTTGGATGTGCAGGGAGTGTAGTATAACGGCTCTAAATTGTTAGTCGGAGAGCCAAGTTCTGATTCCTGTTGGGTCTATTATATTCACTTACATGCTCTTGGGAAAGGCATGAATCCACCTCTTCTACAGCTATCGGTTAATTAGTAAGACTTGTATCACTAAATCATTATTATTCCCTATCTCCTCCACCAAAAATGTCTTACAATCTAAAACTATTTTCTTTCTTTAAATAACCTGCAAAGGGGTGATAAGTCATAAAAAACAAGTCAGTCAATCAATAAAATACTGATTAGCTACACAGGCATGTCTTTTAGATTTATTTACATTCTCTGAAATATGTATAGAAACGACCGTGGCCACAAAGTGAGGGATTAGTTTATATATCGTTTGTAATATAGAATTGATCCCCGACTTTGTATTCACATTATAATTTTATGGTTTGTTTATTAAATTCTGAATAGGTATGAATCTACTTCTCCTCCTCCCAGCTATGGGTTAATAAGTAAGACTTGTATCACTAAATCATTATTACCTTTAAAAAAAAAAGAAAGAAAAAAAAAGTACAATCTAAAAGTATTTTCTGGCTATCAATAACCTGTAATGACTCGATCAATTGTACATCTCACTTGTGGAAATGCAATGTCAGTCATTATCTTCTGTATTAATTCCTGTTTTTTTTTATTGTTCTTGCTCTTCAACACTCATTAACTCCTTGTGTCTTAGTGGCTTTATTGCCTTGCTTGTGGTGAAATGATTAAAAGAAAAAAAAATCCAAATTTGTTTATAAATTTTGTGAGTAGATATGATCATTTGGTAAAGATGGTCGAAGATTTATTGTTTATAAACAGTAATTTGGACCTTGCTAACCAGACACTTCCCTGTAGCTGAGTGTTATAGCACATCAGATCAAATGGAGGTTTCATATAAGACCCTGTACATTAAGGCTTCCCTTTGACATATCCAAACAATCCAAATCCCCCTTTCTTCTGTTTTGGGGCTATGATTAAATAAGACATGCATTGTCTATTTCTGGGGCTGATCACAGAAAGTCAAGCTGATGATAAGTGAGGACCCCGGTATATATTTTTAATTATTTCACCCCAAACAATGCAATAAGGCTACTAAAACGCAAAGACCCAGGGAAGCTACATTAGGGTGGTGGGGAAGTGTCTGGAGCCGAGATGCCAGGTTAGGACCAATAACGTGTATTATTGTATATGGAAAGTATGTAACCTTATGTAAAAAATTAAACATAGCAAAGACAAAGAGAAGCCTACCTTTGGCCAATATCTTGAGGAAGTTCTTCAACTGGGAAATAACTTATCACTTCAGGTTTGCTATTCTTATTCACCAGAGCCATTCCCTACAACAGAGAAGAAGAAAATGGCAAAATAAATGAATGAAGCAAAAATTAACATAAATTAAAAATGTACATTATTTACATTATTCGGACTATTGCGACAAAGATGAGGACAATAATGTAAATAATGTACATAATACCTCATCTCAAAAATATAGACAAATTAGAAATGTCTTGTCATGTGTGTTATAACTGTGTCAAAATCATTTGTAAAATAGCTCTTTTCCAATAATGCTTAAAATTCTTAACCATTGATACTCCCTTTTTTTACTGCATTTTCTATAGTAAAAAAAAGAAAAAAAATTACATTGCATCTCTGTAATAAAAGTCATTTACACTACATCTATATATAATAAAGAAAACAAAAAATAAACATTTACAGTGCATTCCAATCGTAAAAATCAGTGCTGTGGAGTTGGAACATAAAACCCTTGACTGATTCCTATATTTTTGGCACCTCCGACTCCTTTTTATGTAATTAAGTGATTATAGCCTACAAATCTCATAAAGTTAATGTATACGCAAGAATAAAGATATTGTGGCTTTTATAGCATACCTATTCATTCTTCAATATTTTCTAACAAAATTAGAAATAAAATCTTTGAAAGGATATAGAAGAAATAACAATCAAAATAAAAATGCTATAATGTAAGACTTTATATATATATATATATATATATATATATATATATATATATCTTTGCAAATAAGGAATAAAACTACTTTGTAACAGAAAATGAAATATAATTTTTTAGAGGATGTGAAAGATATAACAAAGATACAAATTCTATAATGCAAAATGTTTTTTTACGTATATAGTTTTGAAAATACAAAATAACTACAAAAAAATAAAATGACTTTAAAAAAATAAGTCGAGATGAATTTCTTTAAAGGAAATAGTAAATACACAGTAGAAGAAATAAAAATACAAATTCTATAATGTAAGACTTTTTACATAAAGTGTAAATTCAAATGGAGTTGGAGTCGGTATAGTTTTACCAACTCAAGACTCCAGTGACCCCTTAATTGCTTCCAATTCCAACTCCACAACTCCAAAAACCACTTACAGCGCACCTCTAACATAAATCTGAAGTAGCATTGAATGAAATTACTTAAAACTAAACACCCCTAATGCCATCTAAGCTAAGCTTAACTTAAGTCTTGAACAAGGTCACATTCACTTGCAAAGATTTATCAAACATTGTCCCCTGTTAATTTTTCGTTATCATCATACTTTAAAAATTCTTTGTTTCTTTACCAATATCTTATTCAAGTTTCAAACAGAACTGTTAAAACTCAAAATAAAGAAATCAGTTTAAGCAAGACTTGAACCCACGTTCTATCAGGGCTCCAAATGTTGTTGGAAGGTAAAGATAAACCTCTCATCTACAGACCCCCCCCCATCAACAGACTTCAGATGCAATGGACAAAATCTGCAGGCAACAAAATCGTCAGCAATGTATTTCAAAATTTGTGGGCTTAGCAGAATAAGTCATATTAGTTCTCAAAGTGACTACTTGGCAGCGGTGGCGACCCTTTCAATTGTAAATAAAGACGGGTGTACAGTATAAAAAGTACGATACATTAGCGCATGCGTGAGAAAGTAGCTATGAGAAATCTATTATTTTTGTTATTTTGATTAATATATCTATATTAAGTATATATTTATTTACGCCATATATACCTGTTTATAGTATTTACATTATGATCATAATTACTGGTAGTTACTGTAATCCCTTCCCATGTACGAACAATTGGCTTTAATGGACACCCCACCCCCTATTAGCCCATTGATGAGAGGTTTGTCTGTATTTTTAAAATGTCCACAATTTAAAGTCCTAAGAAAAAAAAAAAAAGATACTTATCAAAGTGTCTGATCTTTTTAAATAATGAAAATATATTGTGGCATAAACTCACCTCAAGCTGTCTAAGGTTTGGCGTCATTCCTTCAGGTACACACTGCTTCCAGACTTGTATAAATTCAGCCAGGTTGAACTGAAACCCACAAATAAAACAAAGAGTTGAAGAATATTTTCATAGCATCATCAAAAATTGTTTTTTGACTTCTTTAACATTACTCACAAGTATTTCTCCTCCCCACTGAAGATGCCAGCATTTCAGCTTCAGTTGCCTAGTTCTTGTGTGAAGACAAGGTTATTTTAGGTGCTGCCAGAGCAGGAACTGACAACACAACCTTGAGACTCAAACACAGTAGTTTGGATAATGAAAGTCATCCAAAGTGGCAGAACAAACTTTCCGCTCAGTAAATGATGTTGCCCATAGAGGACCGAAGGTTAAAAGGTACCTTCTACAATTCCGATAGGCGTCATTCCAAGATTTGTGTGTAAAACTGATCTCGCTCAATTCTACAGCCTTGTTTCCTGATGAAAAAGAAATGCTTTCTGAAGCAGATGCAGAAGAGAAGAGCTGAAATATTATGGTAAAAGAACAATTCAATGAATGAGTTCGGTAGTCCAAACAATTCTTGCAAAACTGTGAGCAGATATACCTAAAGGTGTCCCCCAACAGTCACAACGTAGCACTGACATTCACCTTACAACAATGATGAACAATAAACCTAAATGATCTTACTTACACCTAGGTATCTTCAATAATTCACAGCATAGCATGATGAAAAAAAGCCCTAAACTTAATAAAAAAAATGAAGTTTTATCGTCAAAATGTTTATGTTATTAAAGGTCTGAACTGATGGAAATAAGGAATGTAGCTCGTCTGAACATTTGCCACGGAAATAGTGATAGAGTAGCAAGAGGCTTAGGTGTAAAGGTCTGAACTGATGGAAATAAGGAATGTAGCTCGTCTGAACATTTGCCATGGAAATAGCGATAGAGTAGCAAGAGGCTTAGCTGTAAAGGTCTGAACTGGCGGAATGTAGCTTGTCTGAACATTTGCCATGGAAATAGCGATAGAGTAGCTTGCAACATTTTATCTGTGTGAAAATAATTAATCACAGAAATAGCATTAGAGTAGTGAGAGGCTTGTAATATTGAATCTGTGGGTTAGAGGTCGTAGGGTGAAAAATAAATCATCACCCAAAAGGTCAAGTAGACACTTTTAAACTCTATCAAGACGCTAAAGTGAGGACTGGGCTTCTTCGGCCTAGATATGGCACCAGTACTCCATTTTTGGCCTGATATGGATTTTGTGAAGAAAGAACATAGCAGAAGGTATCAGATAGTTACTGGACCAGTACACTGAGCCAACCATTTTTGCAGCATGGGAAGAATATTAAAGAAAACAAAACATTGTCAAGTGCTACAAAGAGCCATGATTGCCTCTGTTCTAAAAGGGCATGGCATGTAAAAGGGGAAGAACCATCAGTACAGAGGGGGTGTAAGTAGGGAGTTTCAATACTTTGCTAAAAAAAGGATCCCCAAACTTGATAAACAATTTTATTGTCTAAATGTTTATGTTATTATTAAGAGGAAAAACCAAAGTATTTTTTGATTATTTCTAAAAAATTTTTAATATATATTCTCATAAACTGCACCTTTTACACTTACCGCTCACACAACAACCACCTCTAGTAACCGTCTACCTTGCCTCATGCTCAGTGTGCATAACAATTGTGTAAATTATTGGGGTCAATTTTCTCTTTAAGTCCACCAAGATCATATGTCAAAATAGTTTGAATTAAATTTTAGGAAATGCCAATAATTTCCTGCTAATTCCTGGTACTACAATGGACAAATAAGAGTGTAACAATACGATTTCTCACACAACTTTAAAAGAGAAAGACATAAATTACTTCCTTTTAAATCCACTCAGTTAGCTGAGTGTCATAGGAATTTCATCTCAGGTCCATCCTTGAGGAAACTGAATTGCCGACTTTTCAGGATTCCTGTCTCCAGTTTGCCTTTGAATTGGTAAACATAAAATTTTATCAATGCTTTTAGATAGTTATAAAAGTAGTCCTTTGAAGATTTGACCACCTATGTGGCTTTGAAATGGTCTCAACTCTTCTGGATAGGGGGATGGGACCCCAGCCATTATCCATATAAGCAGTGAGAAAAGGTGAAGCAGGTAGGGAGGAATCAGCAGGGGCTGAGTAAGGAAGTGGGTAAGTAATTGCCTAGTGGCCAGGACTGAAAGTGAGGAAGAGTCGCCAATCCCAGAGGCCAGTGAGGAAGGGATGAAGTTAGGGAGATTAACAGTTCAGCCAAAGGGATAGATAGTGAGAAATCATATTGTTGTGAACTCCCAACCAGTGTCTTTAAAAACAATTGTTGTCATTATTATCATTTGTTGAAAGCGATTATGGCTAAGAAGACAAACCAGTGCACATAGCGAGTTGGGTGTAGATGCAAATACAACCAACCTTGGATATGCATATTCAGGTGCAGTGAATGATGGATCACTTCATGTGACTCATGACATGACAATGGTCAATTAAGATCCATTCTATTCACTCATGGCACAACAGGTAATTGAGACTGCTTCTTGTAACTCAGTGTACAACGATGGGCAATTGGGATCATTTCATGTGACTCATGACATGACAATGGTCAACAACAGGTAATTGGGATTGCTTCTTGTAACTTATAGAACAATGATGTGTAATTAGGATCATTTCTCAAACATTCCTGGTTGAAGGATAATCTAAATATGCTTTTTCCTTCCAAAACAGAAATGTTGAAAGTTTTCCTGTATTTTTCATATCATCATCATCATCAAGTCAAGAATTGTCTGATTCTCCTGACTCGTTAACTCCAGCCATCTCTGTCAGACATCGCTGTTGGCAAGTTCTCTAGATGCCATCCAGAATCATCTTCAAGTTGTCAATGATGAGGTCTTCTCCAGGAGTGGTCAGCGAGCTGAAGCTTTCTCTCTCTTAGCGTAACTGAGATAGGAGGAAGGTGTCCATGCAGGCATTTCTTTGTTGGGTGTTTCTTCCAGCTGATGTCCAATGCAACTCGTAACATCCTTGTGTATGTTCCACCAAGTGATGCTTCTTGGTATTTCATATAAAAAATCCTAAATACCAAACTAATGCATGTTTACACTTTAGAAATGAAAGAAAAGCCTGGCACATTGATAAGTAAATATTTTTTAACTCCATAAATAATTAAGTAAGGATAAATACAAACCTTTCCTGTATTCTTTATAGTTAGTTTTGCAAAAAACCTGCAAATTTTGTCTTCCGACAGCTTCAAAAGCTCATCTGCAATGTAAACAAGACTAAAATGGAGAAAATTAAAAAAAAAATACAATAATTAGTGAAGTGAATACATGGTTAGTATAAAATATTAGGAACTCCAGACATTATCATAGACAGATGAAGGAGGAATTACATCAGATAATTTAAGAACAAATCAACCCTTGTTGAGTTATTAATGCCAAAGATAAATGTGATGTGATGGAAATGACAATGAATTAATAAACAGGTAGACATTCGGCTAATTTTACTTTAGCGTCAATATGATAGACATGGATCCAGCGTTTAATAAAGTCAAAAAAAGGGGTATCACAAGTCAAGTTTTACACTAGGGTGAAAACGGTGAACACATGTACGGTTTTACACTAGGGTTAAAAAGGTGAACACACGTACGGTTTTACACTAGGGTTAAAAAGGTGAAAACATGTATGGTTTTACACTAGGGTTAAAAAGGTGAACACACGTACGGTTTTACACTAGGGTTAAAAAGGTGAACACATGTACGGTTTTACACTAGGGTTAAAAAGGTGAACACGACGGTTTTACACTAGGGTTAAAAAAGGTGAACACATGTACGGTTTTACACTAGGGTTAAAAAGGTGAACACATGTACGGTTTTACACTAGGGTTAAAAAGGTGAACACATGTACGGTTTTACACTCGGGTTAAAAAGGTGAACACATGTACGGTTTTACACTAGGGTTAAAAAGGTGAACACATGTACGGTTTTACACTAGGGTTTTGAACACTAAAAATGGTTTTACACTAGGGTTAAAAAGGTGAACACATGTACGGTTTACACTAGGGTTAAAAAGGTGAACACATGTACGGTTTTTACACTAGGGTTAAAAGGTGAACACATGTGAACACAAAAAGGTGAACACATGTTTTTTACACTAGGGTTAAAAAGGTGAACACATGTACGGTTTTTACACTAGGGTTAAAAAGGTGAACACATGTACACTAGGGTTAAAAAGGTGAACACATGTACGGTTTTACACTAGGGTTAAAAAGGTGAACACATGTACGGTTTTACACTAGGGTTAAAAAGGTGAACACATGTACGGTTTTACACTAGGGTTAAAAAGGTGAACACATGTACGGTTTTACACTAGGGTTAAAAAGGGTGAAATGTTTTACGGTTTGCTAGGGTTAAAAAGGTGAACACATGTACGGTTTTACACTAGGGTTAAAAAGGTGAACACATGTACGGTTTTTACATGTACGGTTTTACACTAGGGTTAAAAAAGGTGAACACATGTACGGTTTTACACTAGGGTTAAAAAGGTGAACACATGTACGGTTTTACACTAGGGTTAAAAAGGTGAACACATGTAATGGTTTTACACTAGGGTTAAAAGGTGAACACATGTACGGTTTTACACTAGGGTTAAAAGGTGAACACATGTAATGGTTTTACACTAGGGTTAAAAAGGTGAACACATGTACGGGTTTTACACTAGGGTTAAAAAGGAACACATGTACGGTTTTACACTAGGGTTAAAAAGGTGAACACATGTACGGTTTTACACTAGGTTTGAACACATGTACGGTTTTACACTGGGTTAAAAAGGTGAACACATGTACGGTTTTACACTAGGGGTTAAAAAGGTGAACATATGTAATGGTTTTTACACTAGGTTTTTTACACTAGGGTTAAAAGGTGAACACATGTACGGTTTTACACTAGGGTTAAAAAGGTGAACACAAACGGTTTTTACTTTAAGGGGTTAAAAAGGTGAAAACATGTATGGTTTTACACTAGGGTTAAAAAGGTGAACACACGTACGGTTTTACACTAGGGTTAAAAAAGGTGAACACATGTACGGTTTTTACACTAGGGGTTAAAAAGGTGAAAAGGTTTTAACACATGTAATGGTTTTACACTAGGGTTAAAAAGGTGAACACATGTACGGTTTTACACTAGGGTTAAAAAGGTGAAATACATGTACGGTTTTACACTAGGGTTAAAAAGGTGAACACATGTACGGTTTTACACTAGGGTTAAAAAGGTGAACACATGTAAAGTTTACACTAGGGAAAAAGGTGAACACATGTACGGTTTTACACTAGGGTTAAAAAGGTGAACACATGTACGGTTTACACTAGGGTTTTGTACACTAGGGTTAAAAAGGTGAACACATGTACGGTTTTACACTAGGGTTAAAAAGGTGAACACATGGTTTTTACACTAGGGTTAAAAAGGTGAACACATGTACGGTTTTACACTAGGGTTAAAAAGGTGAACACATGTACGGTTTTACACTAGGGTTAAAAAGGTGAACACATGTATGGTTTTACACTAGGGTTAAAAAGGTGAACTCATGTACAGTTTTACACTGAAGTAAAAAAGGTAAACACAGTTCTGCAGGATTTGCTGTATTCTGTAGATAATAAAACCGATATTACACAAAAAATTCTTTTAAAACAATTTCCTTGAAGATTAACCAAATATCATGTTTTCCATAGCTACAGCAACTGGTGGAACCAGATCTGTTACAACATGGGACATTTTGTATTTAGCAAACAATGACTGTGAAGTTAGGAGAGTTTTTGCCGCATTTCTGACTGTTTTGCTTTTTGTTTTCCTTTATCACTTACTGTCATGTCTATGGCATTTCAATAATTTTTTTCACTTACCTAGTTTGTATATTTTTCAAATCCTATTGATAAAAATTGTTTTCAAAGACGTTTTTACCAAACATCAATCATATTGGTGACAGAAGACAGCAAATGGTAGAAGATCTTGATTAACTAATAGAATAAAAGATAACAAATTGTATGCTATTGGATCCAATAAGGATGATAATATGATTTATTACATAGGAGTCTAATATGTAAGAAAACGCATTTCACTAACAGTTACTGGCAAATTTTAACTTGTGGAGTGAGTAACCATGACTAAATGTAAAATAAATAAATGTTAGAACTACTCAACAAACAGATTTGACAAAGTTTGCAATAAACAATAAGAAAAAGAAAAGAACAGCAAAAAAGAATCTAAATCAAGCAAACAATATATGCTAGGCAAAGCAACAGTAATATGATGAAAAGGTCAAAAACTCAGAATTGGGGCCTATGCATAAGAGCAGGTTCAGACAAGCGAATGTAGCGTTCTGGCTCCAAGACAAGACAGATCGGGACTGAGTCAGATGAAACTGAGAAGCAGCCTAGGAAGAAATCCCAACATGCATTTGTCTGCTTCTGCCTATAAATTGGGGAGGGGCAAGTGTTTTGCAGTCATTCTGTACAGATTGAAACCAAAATCAGTAAACAAAAAAAATAAAAATAAAAATTGATATTTGTTTTTGTTTTTTATTGTATGTTCTCTCGGTTAATTTTTATTGTTTTAAAAACCTAAACTGAATGCACATTTCTGTCAAATGTGACAACAAAAATGTTGAACATTATTTATTTATTCAATTGTGCATCAAAGAATGTCATTCGTTTCTTCAGACAAATTGCCACATGTGGTGTGCATTCTCTGCGGAAAGTAAGAATTTGAGTTGTGCCTCAAGGTTGTTTGATATAGAAATCGGTAGTATATGCAAATTTGTAATCTGACCAATGTTGGGCATCTCAGGTGCATATATAAACCAACAGATCATCTGGGTGAAGTGTTCCAAATGCTCATGCATGGTGGCAACCATTAGTTTTGACTGCCAGTGTCGGCACACAAATTCTTCCAATTGCAAATTGTTTTTTTACAATGTTATAAAGCAAAAGATGTGAAAACATTTTTTAATGTGTGTGTATGTCTGTGTGTGCATAAAAGTTTAATTGAAAATGACTGACAAGGTACTGTGATTAAGCATTTTCTTATTAAATTTTTCTTGCATTTGTATGCATATTTTCTTTTCTGGGAATAAAGTGTAAAAATTATCTTTTGTAATATGTCACACGTACATAATGCAAGTAATAACAGAAAGACTTCAATGTAAATAATAAAGTATTTAACTACCAAATGCAATTAAAATACATTAACAACAAAGAAGTAAAGAGTCAACGGAAAGGTTATTGATTACTTATCAGTTAATACATGACTGTGTAGAGCTGCTAGGTAAAGTACTAATTCGTCTTGAAACACAGGAGACTTGACTTTAACGTCCGAGTTAACACAATAGTCCAACAAGTAAATGTAACCACTCAGTCAGTGGCAGGATATCTCTATTTATAGTAAATGGTGGTCTATATTTTCAGAGTCTAGAGATTCATGTTCAAACTCTGGTGTCAGCAGTGACACTTTTCATTCATATATGACACTACCCATATAAAAATTATAACATAAATATGTTATAAAATCACTTCAAAAATAGGGGTGGTTAATTAATTTGAACCTTTTAAAATCATTATTCTATATTCAACATGATCACTTGATAAGACACCAGAGATGTTGAAACAAAATGGCTATTTTTGTACTGATTTTAAAACATATTTATGTTATAATTTTTAAATAATTATATTTGCTCTACTCTGTATTGAGCACTCTTTTAAGGATAGTAATTGTTGGTTATTGGAATTTATTCCGTATACACTAATCATATACTTGATTATAAATTAAAAATATGGTTTAAATAAATTTAAAATATGGTTTTTCCGCTACACAGTTCTAACCATGTTTCAAAAATGGAAAGTCCGAAGTTAATTTTGTAATTAAATTAAAGACATTAGTTCCATTTCATCCTCAGGCGAATTTTGGAGTAACTTTTAAAATTACTGGGTTTTAAAGACACAGCTAAAATCATAATTCACGTTTCCATGGTTACAGATAAATTCACTTCCACTAGACAGGGGTGTTTGCGTGTTCATTATATCTGTATTTTGATGTATCCGTTATAAGTTACGTTTTGGTAGCGGGTAGGGATGTATTCTTCAATGAAATCTGACATCCGTTAAATGCATGTCGTCTGGATTTTTTAAAATTTTATTGTTAACGGCAAAAATTCTTACAGCATTTTTTCTATTTGTATATTTAAAGATTTTTGGGTGGGTGTTCAGGTTAGAATACATTTTATTTAACTACAATTTGAAAAATATTTTCACTTTTAATTTTTAATATATTATATTTCTTTTAAGAACAAGTAAATGTATTAGAATCCCTTACAGTATGTAGAATTATTTTCACATCAACTATAAGTATGTATATTATTAGGTAACAATTTTTATTTTTTTTTCTTTAAATATTATTTAAGTAAACTTTATGACAATGATGCCAAAAATAGCTAATTGATTTCACTGATTTAGTAAACTTTTAATTTTTATATAAACCTAGTAATATCTTGTTTCTCATGTAAGTACAAAGGACATGGGTCATTCAATGGCTTACATCTTCTAGCTTTTAGATTAATTTAAATTCATTTTACTGTAGGTGTTTTATTGGATTCCTTTAAGTGCTTGTAGTACTTAGAGGGAAATCTATAGGTTAGAATACGTTTTATTTAATTACAATTTTAAAAGATGTTTAGGTTAGAATTTCTTTTTATTTAACTACAATTTTAAAAGATGTTTAGGTTAGAATTTCTTTTTATTTAACTACAATTTTAAAAGATGTTTAGGTTAGAATTTCTTTTTATTTAACTACAATTTTAAATACAACTTTAAAATATTTTCACTGTTAGTTTTAATAGACTATATTTCTTTTTTATAAAAGTAAATGTATTAGAATTACTTACAGTAAGTAAAATTATTTTTACATATCAAGTATCAGTATGTATATCACCTTTGTTAAAATTTTTTATATTTAAATATTATTTAAGTAAAATTTATGACCATTACGGTAAAAATAGCTAATTCATTTCTCTGATTTAGTAAACTTTTTTTTTTTTACTTAGTAATATAAAGTTTTACATGTCTGTCCAAAGGACATAGTTCATTCAATGACTTACATCTTATAGCTTTGCATCATAATTTCATTTTTCTGTAGATGTTTTATTGGATTTTTGACCCATGTCCTTTATGCATACATGAGAAACTATATATTACTAAGTTTATAAAAAACAAAAATTTACTAAATCAGAGATATTAAATAGCTATTTTATGCTGCCATTGTCAAAAATTGTAAAAAGACCTTATGCAACTGGAATTTATAAACGGGGATCATATCATTCATATACAGGTTCGGGGTTGATGTATCTTATTTATATTGTTTGCGACGAAGTATTCTCGCCATTAAATCATTAACCTCTATATTTGTTTTTTGTATGAATGATTCATGAATTTATATATATATATATATATATATATATATATATGCAGTTTTTATATATATTATTTATATATTATACATGTGTTGTACTTAATGGAAAGCGCTTAATATCAGTGATAGAGCTAACATATTTAGTTGTGTTGATGTGAGTTTGTGACACTGGGTTTCACGCCCTTTGCGATCGTCAGACAAACTGAATTAATTTTGAAATTTGGGATTTATTCATGGTTGTGTATATCAGAGTTTGATGGTAGTAGGAGAAAAAATTCTCCTCTGCGTCCTACATGGGGCGCCACTCATATGCATGCAGACACACACACACATCCATGCATTGCAGGTCACACAAACATATATATATGTGGGACTGAGTGCATATATGCATACATGTGTCATTGCGTGCATATGTACGCAATTGGCTGCTGTATTCAGTGTTGGAATTGTGTAGTGAATTTTCAAAATTTCAAAATTAATCAATTTGTCTGATGATCGCAATGGGCATGAAACCCAAGGTTACAAACTCACATCAACGCAACTAAATATATATATATATATATATATATATATATGTGTGTGTCTGTTATATACCGTATCTATGAGCACTAATGTGTATGTCGCAATCCTCATAAATACGTTGGACACTATTGTAAGTGGGGGGTAATATGGTGTCTATGTAGTCCACCACTTGGAGTGGTTTTTCTACTTCATGCATTGGCAGTATTGTATTCTGTTGATGTTATAAAGAGTACCATTTCATTTTCAACCTCCATTTTGGTTATTCCTCATTTAGTAACTTTTTCTAGGTTACAATATATATATATATATATATATATATATATATATATATATATTACATGCACATCTATAGCTTTAAATTAGCAGGTAAATTATGAATGGCTTACCATCAGAAGCACTGTTTTCTGTATCCTCAGAATATATGCGTAGAACATGTTCCACAACAGACCTGAAAGATAAGAAATTCTTATTGGCTTAATGACAACATTTACAAGTAAGATTATATATGCTCTTGGATATTTGAAACCATTACCTAATGACGTCTATGATTTTGTGGAATTAAATGTGGAGTGAGTAGCCATTTGTCAAATGCAGAATAAATAACAGAACTGTCGACTAACAGACAACGTTTGTAATAAACAATAACAAGAGAAAGAAAGGAAAAGAATAGGACAAAAGAAAAGAATATAAATCAAGCATATATATATATATATATATATATATACATACATACATACATATATATACAGTGCTGTTCGATAAAAGTGACTCACCTGGTTTTTTTACTTAAAACATTTTTGCCTATTGTTTTTGGGGTCAAACTAATTTTTAATCTTACTAATATAAAGACCCCTTCCCGACCACCTAGTAAAAAAGTTTACTCACCCTAAGGTATTCTAATGATAATTATAATTTTGGATATAAATGAGATTTAGGGAAAAACTCTGTGCAAAAAAAGTGACTTACATATTTCCTGCAACTAGTAATTAATAGAAACATAACCGAACAGCTTTTAAATAAAGAATAATAGAGGTATAATTTATTTATAATAGGTAATATAGTTCGAAATATTTAATAATCTATGGGTCCTCCTTTATTTTGAATAACCTTTTCAACCCTTTTTGGCATTGACTTGATTAGGTTCTGGCAAATCTCATCTCCAAGCATTGAATTCCATTCAGATATGAAATTCACAATCAAATCCTCTTTGTTGCTCAACTGCTTTCTCGAGAGCCTGTACTTTATAATGCTCTAGAAGTTTTCTATGGGGTTGAAGTCAGGAGATTGGGGCGGCCATGTCATAACATTCACCTGCTTCTCATCAAAGTATTCCTTCATCAATTTTGATTTGTGACAGGGAGCATTATCCTGCATAAAAATGAGCTTGGTGGGGTCGATTTGCACCCTTTCAGCAGAAGGGAGCAGACAAGACTCTAAAATTCTCTTGTACTGCTCGCTCCTGAGGGTCTTTTCAATAGGTTTTAAGAAACCAGTTCCATGAAAAGAAAAGCATCCCCAGAACATTATACTGAACAGATGCTTGACAGTATTTACTGCTAACTTCAAAGAGCTTTCAAAGCTTCTTCTTCGGATTTTAGATCGTTTATCATTGAATTTAGCTCAACTTTCGTTTCATCGGAGAAGAGAACATTTAGTAAAAAAATCAGGTGAGTCACTTTTATCGAACAGCACTGTATATATATATATATATATATATATATATATATATATATATATATATATATATATATATATGCAAGACAAATCAATAGTGATATAGCAAAATTTAGCAAACTAAGAATTGGCATTGACATACAAAAAGCAATTTCGGACAAGCGAATGTGCGCTCTGGCTTCAAGACGAGACAGATCGACTGAAGTTATTTACCCTCGCCTCCTGACAAGACAGGATGTTTATTATGTGGGGAGAATCCGAAGCCATAGGCTTGAGCAAAAATTCCCCGGAGGCCCCGCATACACGTAGTGGGGCTTGTCTACCTCCCCAGACGTGACTCTTCCCTTCAGCATAGCCTTGTTTGGGTTCCTCTCCATCCGAAGGCAGAGAGTTCGACAAGTCAACCCTAATCATCTGAATCGACAGATCGGGACTGAGTCAATTTAAACTGCAAATCGACTTATTGTATTGGCTAAAAAAAAAATCCCAGCATGCATTAGCGTGCTTCTGCCTATAAAAGGGGAGGAGAATGTGTTTTGCAGACATTATTTATTTTTGAATTTGGGCATCAGCTCAGAATGAAGAATGATGATCAGATCTGACAGAAAGTGTTTGATATCGACTGCTTTAAATAAAGAATAATAGAAGTATAATTTATTTATAATAGGTAATATAGTTCGAAATATTTAATAATCTATGGGTCCTCCTTTATTTTGAATAACCTTTTCAACCCTTTTTGGCATTGAAAGGTGGATTTTTGCGCTTGCTATCATAAAATTGAATTATTTGGAAAAAAATAAATGTCTTTTTTTGTGGCGTGAGTAGCCATGGTCAAATGTAGAATAAATAACATACCTGTCCAACTAACAGAACTGACAATGTTTGTAATAAGCAGTAACAAAAAAAGAAAAAGAAAAGAGCAGGGCAAAAATAATATAAAACAATCAAACAATATATGCAAGGCAAATTAACAGCAATAAGGCAAAAAAGTTTGAAAGTAAGAAAGGTGTTAACACACTAAAAGGGATTCAGCTAAGTGATTGCAGTATTCTAGCTTCAAGACAAGAAAGAACAGAAGAAAGTCAATTGAGACTGAGAAGTAGCCTATCTTATTGCCTAGGAAGAAATCCCAGCATGCATCTGTATGTTTTGCCTATACATTTGGAGACTGGCCTGAAGGAGAAAAGACAAAAGGGAATTGTGTAGAGAATTGGCCATGGTTAAATGTAATTGACAGTAATGCCCAACATATAGAATTGACAAAGTTTGCGATGAACAATAACAAGAGAAAGAACAGGGCATAAAATGATATTAAGCAAACAATATATGCAAGGCAAAGCAAAAGTAATAAGGCAAAGCAAAAGTAATAAGGCAAAGTAACAGTAATATACCAAAAAGTTCACAAACTAATAATTTGGGTTGACACCCAGAAGCAAGTTTAAACAAGCGAGTGTTTTGAATTAAAAACAAGACAGACTGGGACTGAGTTAGATGACACTGAGAACCAGACTATTTTATTGGCTAGGAAGAAATCCCAGCATGCATTTGTGTACTTCTGCCTATAAATTTAAAATGGTCTCAGATGGAAAATACTTGGGAAAATAAAAATTATTTGAAAGAAAATTTTGGAATTTTTCTCGATCAATTTTATACAGCTACCAAGAAATTAATTTGTGGACTTGAAAGGATTAAAACTAAAATAAACAGACATAATACCTCTAAATTATTTAACCAAACATTTAGAAAAATATAACAAACTAGAAAGGGTTTTGAAATGCATTTAATCCATTAGGATTTCTTTGGACTGGGATTTGTTGCCATGTCTACACATGTACATGAATCGAGAGACGTAAGTAGTTTCAAAATTTTTTGAAAGAATATATCTTTTTTTTCAATCTAGCCAAATTTATCTGTATTCTTTTTCTCTTCATCAACTTTGTCTCTGACTATCCCATACTGCAACAATATAAAATCTACCAAGAATGGTGATATATTGTAAGAGCCTGGATGCAAATTTAAATTTCAAAAATATTCTTACAAAAAATTTTGAAACTACTTGCGTCCCTCATTTCACGTGCATGTGTAGACATGGCAATCCAGTCCAATGAAATCGTAATGAATGAAATGCATCACAAAAACTTTTCCAGTTTGTTATATTTTTCTAAATACTGTTTATTGATATTTAAAATTATACAAAATTATATATTATCATATCGTTCGACATCCGTCCATCTTGGGAGACGATGGAGTAGCGCTTATTCTAAGCCAAAATTTCTGGCCGATAGAGTTACAATGCTTCTGGTGACTGTGTAGTACCACCTGGAGCAGCAGTCTCTCAGGCACTTGGCGCAGATGAAACTGGATGACACAGAGGCAGGGACTGTCCTTGCTTTTCTCCTGGCTCTCTTTGCTGCCTGCTGATCTTCCCTCGCAGATTCTGCAATCGGGATGCCGTCACCAACTGTGGCTCTCCAAAGCTGACGCTTGTCAACCACGGCCTCCCAGGTGTTGGGATCAATGTCGGCCAGCTTCATGTCTGGTTTGCAGACATCCTTGAAGCGAAGTTGAGGTCTTCCAGCTGGGAGGGACCCCCGACACAGCTCTCCGTACAGGATGACTCTTGTGATGCGGCCGGCACCCATGTGGCGTACGTCTCCCAGCCATATGAGACGTCTTTGGCAGAGCAGCGTGAACAGGCTGGGGATGCCGGCACGTTGGAGGACCTCTGTGTTAGTGATCCAGTCTTGCCACAATGTGCAGCAGACGTCTGAGGCAGCGGAGGTGAAAGGTGTTTAACCTTTTCTCCTGACTGGTGTAAGTTGTCCAGGACTCCCTACCGTACAGAAGGGTGCCAAGGACGCATGCCCAGTAGACTTGTAGTTTGGTGTTCTCCGTCAGCTGTCTGTTGTTCCAGACGCGCTTGTTTAGCTTGGCCATGACTGCGGCGGCTTTCCCTATCCTGGAGCTGATCTCAGTGTCCAGGAAGAGGGAGCTGGAGTTGATCTCAGTGTCCAGAGAGAGGGAGCTAGAGAAGATCGACCCAAGGTAGGTGATATATGTACCAGGTATAACAGCAAAATTGTCCAAATCGTGTCATAGCATAATTGTCCATCCTACAACATGTTTAATATCTAAAAATCCACTGAACTAATTGTGTTTCTTTTTTCCAGGTTTTCAGATAAGACGCTTAGTCATCTTGACACCATTTGTCATAAGAATCTCTGAAAAATCCTTTGAGTTATTCAGCTAGAAAGAGAACAGATTAAAATCATCTTGTGACATCCCCACTCTATTCTCAAATGAACAATGGTGAGAGAAAAAAAAGACCATTCAGTCCTTCAATAACAGTACCAACATTCATACTCTGGCTTCCATCTCGAAGGTCCAAGAACCATCAAGAGAATGGTGGCTAAGTTTAAAAAAAAGAATAAACAGTAGAGAGGGAAACTGGGTCAGGAGGTCACAACAGGAAGAAGGGTCATTATTTTAACTTAATGCTGAAGAGATCAATTAGAAATGATCCAACTCAATCCATAAGATGTTTGGCAGGTGAGAGAGAAGTTTCAGCAATGACAGTCTAAAGAGCAGTGAAAAAAAGACTTGGAAATGAAATTGTACTTGAAACATGTGAGGCACCTTGTTACTCCAGAACAGAAAGTTAGGTTAGAGAGTACAAAGATTAAGTTGGAAAATGATCCTTAAATTATATATATATATATATATATATATATATATACACATACACCCAAGTATAGGATTGGTGTATACGGAATAAATTCCAATAACCAATAATTACTATTCTTAAAATAGTGCTCAATACAGAGTAGAGCAAATATAATTATTTATTTAAAAATTATAACATAAATATGTTATAAAATCACTACAAAAATAGCCATTTTGTTTCAACACCTCTGGTGTCTTATCAAGTGATGATGTTGAATGTAGAATAAAGGGTTTTAAAAAGTTCAAATTAATTACCCTCCCCCGTAAGGGGAAACGCTGTTACATAAGCTGGAATAACCAATCAAAATACAAGTATACGAGAATTCAAAAAACCTTGACAACGAAGTAAGGTTATAATAGCTATTACGAGCTTTGAAGTTGGGGTTATACTAAAATAGAATTTATTCTAACTAATAAGTATTAAATTATTCGATAAAATTTGAAATTAAAATTAAAAACTACCCATTTTAAAATCTAAATATATATTTTCGAACATTATTTCAATTCTGTTCAGCTTAGAGATTAATTATACATTCTTATTGCTCAAAGTAAAGTCCAATAGTGTCATAAAAACCTAGGAGGATTCCGGCAAAATATCTTTAATCATTTCTAAGATACACTGATTCAAAGCTTAATTTAACAATTGGACAATTTTGCTGTTACAGCTGGTATCTGGGATAATTAAAACAGAGTGAATATAATTGCATCTTACGAGACAATATGACTGAAGATGTAAGCGAGGAGTAAAAACAAAGAATGAAATGAAAATGAAATATTTTTGTTTTACCGTAAGTAGAGCTCCCCCAAGACATCACAGCAGGATTTGACAGGCACACCAGCAAACAGCCAATCTTCTTCCTCGGCCAGTTGAAGAATGTGAGACAGAACTTGTGTCAGGAAGTCAAATTCTAGCAATCGCCAATAGCCTACAATAAAAATACCGGCATTTTAATCTTTATCATGACGGAGGTGAAAATTGGCACCGTAGAATTTGCTGCCTTTGCAGCTCTAGGTGCATTTGGCCACCTCAAGACAGTTTTGCTATAAATCAATACTTCAACTGCTATTTCTGATATTTTAAGCTTTTATATTTTATGTTTTTTTACGGTGGATAATGGTGTTAGTTAGATCCAGTGACAAGACCCAAAAAGTGTGAGTTCAATACCCAGTTAAGGCAGAGGAGAACTTGGAGAGGGGAATTAACAAGAGATAATGGATAACTGACATCCATTAAACATGGCACGTGGAACTAGAACAGTCTACCCCAGTGAGTAAAATAAAGGGTTCAGTTCGACATTCCACCCACTTGAAGAAGGCCAGAGTGTATAACAGCCGAAACGTTGTAATAAAGATGGCGATAAAGATGAGGACAATAGTCCGAATAATGTAAATAATATACCATTTTTACTTACATTATTTATATTATTCGGACTATTGTCCTCATCTTTGTCACCATATTTATTACAACGTTTCGGCCATTGTATTCAGGCTTCTTCAGGTGGTTGGAATGTTGTACTGAATCTTTTATTTCGCTTGCTGGGGTAGACTGTTCTAGTTCCACGTGCTATGTTTAATGGTTGTCAGTTATCAGTAATCTCCTGTTAATTCCCCTCACAGTGGATAAAGGTGTTAGTTAGATCCAGTGACAAGACCCAAAGAGTGTGAGTTCAATACCTGGTTAAGGCAGTGGAGAACTTCTGCCAATGTATTTGGGTTTTCCATTTTTTCTAGATATTAATTAAATATTTGGAAACAGCTAAAAACATAACCAGTAATACTATATTGTTTAGAATTATTCTAGTTTTCATTTCTAGAGAAACTAATTAAACTCAAGGGTTTAAATAATAAATTTTGATCCTTTGCAAATTTCAGATATCAAAATATTATTATAGATATAAACAGACAATGGTAGGTGTTGCCAAATTTTATGAGGATAAAAGTATGTTTAAAGGAAACAAAAAAGATTGCAATTACATATTTAAAATGTTTAAACCAATAATATTGCAGATTTTACTTCGGATTTTGTCAATTCTTATTAAGTATTCCAGAGACAAAAAAAAAAATATGTTTCATGACTATATCTAACTTACCTTCAATTTGAAGAGCATCCATTACTTTGAGTCCCTCAGACAATTCTTTCTCACTGGCCTGGACAATGTCCAACAAATTTTCAGTCGTAAACTGAAAACAAAAACCAGAAGAAAAAAAAAAAAGAGATAGTTTTAGAAGCTGTAACAAATATAGTCCCGATACATTTGAGGAGAGACAAGACCATCTCTTTGGATCAACAATGGTGAACAATAAACAAACGATCTTACTTACATCTAGGTATCTTCAATAAATCACTGAAAAAAGAGCATAGAATGATGAAAAAAAAAAGGCCCTAAACTTAATAAAAAAAATGAAGTTTTATCGTCAAAATGTTCACGTTATTATTAAGAGAAAAGACCAAGATATTTTTTGATAATATTATTAATTTTTTTAATCCTTTCTAGCACTTTCAAAATTTTGGTTAAGAATCTTGTTTTTCTTGTGTAAGTCGATGGGCCAAAGATTAGTATTAATAAAAATTCAATGTCTTTTTTTTTGCGGTAAAAACACATTGTTTTGGAAAAAAAACAAATAATTGTTGGATTTCAATTAAATTTTCAAAATTTATTCAAAAATGAATAAAATTATTTTGAATTTTTTTTTTTACATCTGTTACTCCCACTTAAAAAATTATGAGAAATTAAAATTATAGCCTTTTCATATTTATATTAGTTAAAAGCAGGATCCTTGGAGAATATAAGTCATCAATTTGTTTTTGTCAAAAGGAAACACCATTTACTGAACATCTGCTTAGAATCGTAAAATAAAAAATGCAATAAAACTATGACATTATTTAATTAGAAAAGCTTTTAATTGCTTTTATCAGCCCTCCTATATGGCAGTGAATGCTGACAGATGAAAAGCTTCTTTTAGTTTAAATTTCATAAATTGCCATGACTTATGGGAAGAGAAAGGAGGGGCTTCCTTTTGTTTTCTCCAGTTTTGCATTTAGAGTAATCCTTCTCCTATACTGGTTATCAACCCTGGCTAAGGAGTTCAGTCTCTTGCTGTTTTGATCCAGAGATGGAAAAGGGAAGAAAGAAATTAATTCTTGTCCCAATAACATTTCTATGAAAGTGAACGCAACAATGCAGGAATTTGAATTTGCCTTCTTAATTCCACTTTCAACGCAGGACTCCCTTTTTCTGGAAACTGGGGGGGGGATACAGTACGAAAATATTTTTTTTGTTAGATAAAAAAAGTTAAAAACTTTTCCACATGTCTTATTTATTATTCACTTGAAAGGCAAACGTTCCTACTATCTCTCCCATGTCCGACATGAGGACATTATTTACATCAGGCATAGGCAACCTTTTTTGAGAAGTGGGCCACATGATCTGCAGCTCACCATAAACTGGGCCACACTACTAAAAAGATTCAAGGTAATTTTTCTTGGTGGGTACTTCCGCTTTTTTTTCACAACAAAAAACCATATGTGTAAGCAGACACCTTAGAAATGGTAGGAAAGTTTTATTTTTTACAAAATAGTTTTTTAGAATAAAAAAGAAAATTGAAGCCTTCATATAATAACATTATATTATCACTGCATGTGATTTACTTCTAATTTATTTATTTGAAAATGAAAACAATTCTCCTTTAGAGAAAAAAAATTCGAACAACTTTTGAACTACAAGGAAACCTGTTTCAAAAGCAAAAGATGTTTACACATGTGATCTTCCTTATTAAAAATCGCCAATGGTTTACAAAGTTTACAAACTTTAAGAAACATTGTACTTAATCATTGTTTGTCTGTGGTTATGTATGAGAGAATGTGTGAATGAACAAGTGAGGACGAAACAAAATAAAATTTTAAGAAATGTTATTTTGCTTACAAAATTAAGTGCGCCATTTAGAAAGGCCTGCAGGTCGCAGTTTCCCTGTGATGCTTATATAACTGTATCTATTACAAAACCTTTCCAACACCAGCAAAATGAATGCTTGGCAGCTGGACTCAATCTCTGGTGCACCCAGCTTCATTGAGATCTGGTGCAAATTCTATACAATGTTCAGCATCATAATATTGTTTCATTTAAGATAAGACATTAAAAATGGGCCTTTTTTTTCATAAACTGTAAGAAAACTGATCAAGTTTCACCTTGGGACCTTGATGTTCGCTATCCTCTTCACATTCCTGACCACTGTACTGGTTTTTCTCCAGAAGCAACTTCAGTTTCTCCAACTTGGGGCGGACTGGACGCATCTCATAATATGTTTGCAAGCTGGATACAACCTGAAAGCAGAGGAAAACAAAATTATTCCACCCTGATTCATAAACACAAAGAAAGAGATAAACTCGGTCAGAGAGTCAGTAGCATTTTTTTTTCTAAACATTTCTTTCCAAACAAGGCAATGAAGCTATTAAGACGTAAGGTGTTACTGATTATGAAATAATATGAGAAAAAAAAGACAGAAGATAACAACTGACATTGCATTTGAATTTTTGAAGATCAAATTTGACTGGAAAGCAAAAGGCAAAGAAGGGCATTGGGCAAGCGAAAAGTGTGAGAGAAAGGACTGTTAGCATTGAACTTTGGTGGTCCTCAAGGACACATGGCACAGTGGATAAAGGTGATAGTTAGATCCAGTGACAGGACCCAAAGAGTGTGAGTTCAATACCTGGTTAAGGCAGTGGAGAACTTGGAGAGGGGAATTAACAGGAGATAACTGACATCCATTAAAACATGGCACGTGGAACTAGAACAGTCTACCCTAGTGAGTGAAATAAAGGGTTCGACATTCCAACCACCTGAAGAAAGCTGGAGTGTACAACAGCTGAAATGTTGGTGACAAAGATGAGGACGATAGTCCGAATAATGTAAATAACAGTATAACATGTTTATAATTTGTATTTAGATCCATTGTATTTATTTTCAATTTTTCTAGTTGAATTTTTCACCTATACTACAGTTCAAAAGTTTGAGGCATTATATTAAATGTTTTGTAGCAAGGAAAAGAAATAACAAGAGATTGAAATAACGTTTGTTGGTAGAGAGTACAGGAATAGCAGTCATGTGTTAAGTGTAGCATAGATAGTTGACGCATTTCTTGTACTGGCCTGTCACAGGTCACAGGATAGAGTTGGTGCACATTTGGTTGATCAAGGTCACAGTGGTAGGTTGATTGGTAGACAGGATGTGTTGAGCTAGGGTACGCCGGATTGGTGTGGTATTGGTAGGTCTTTTCCGTGGAACAAAGGTCATGGTGTCAACTGTGAAGGAAATGCTTTGTAAACGAGTTGAGGTAGGCCCAGGTGAAGGCTGGTAGATCTGTTATATGAAATGAAGACTGCTGTGTAAACTGCAAAGGGAAAGCCTTGAAAACGAGTCGAGGTAGGCCTGTTTTATGGAACTGAGGTTGCTGATCGAGGTCATGGTGGATGGTCGATTTCTGTTGGTTGATATTTGCCAAGGTGACAGCATTGCTGATGATGAAAGCTTGTGGCTGGGTGGTATCAAGGCTGAATAGTCAACTGCTTGCAGCTAGTGTTTGCCGTTGATGAGGTTGGTGTCAATGAAGTCTTGTAGCTAGGAGGAGTCAAGTTTGAGATATTTCAAGTTTAAGCTGGATAGCCGAGGTGGCTGATCAAGCCTGCGTGTGGTAACGGTTTTGAGAGGGGTGGTCATATTGAGTGGTGGCAATGATGGCGATGGTAGCAGCATTGCCCTGTGTGACGGCCAGTGGTCGCAACTCTGTTGTCATGGTGACACGGTCATGGTAGTGGTAACAATGTGTGATGACTAATGGCTGCACTGGCTAGCAACTGCCCTGTTTCTCAGAGGCCTACTTTTATGCAGTTCTGGTAGTCCCCAGGGGCATCTCCCGTTTCAGCAAGAATGATGTAATTGACCACCGTTGGAGCTCACTTTGTAGACCAGATGTGATGCATGGAGTCTAATTTGCAGAAAACGACTTTCATTATTTCGTTTTCTGCCTTCAAGGTGTTTACATCCATCCAACGTGCAAAATGAATCAGAAAGAGATCTAATTGCAACGGAGTATAACAGAGGCCAACCTGGGTAATTTTTTAAATTGATCCAAAAAGTAGTTGCTTAGTATTTTAAATAAGAGAAAATTATTATGTATGTTAAAAGAAAATTATTATGTATGTTAAAAAAAAGTGAGACATGATATTTTATTAGAAATTTTATTATGACTCTGTCCTGGAAAGGGAGATATTTGTTCGAAGTAGCAAAGTGGTTTTGGACTACTGTAACCGAGTAGGACAATCTAGCAGGTAACTGTAATGGACTGTCCTCGTCGTAGTGGTAGGCAATAGGCGTACTCAATAGGCATAGCCAATAGTTGTCGTCCTGTACCTCCACATCAGTCTGTATTTATGACTGACACCAGCCAATCATATTACTGTAGTGGAGAACCCAGGTGTATGCATATTCATTACATCAATGACAAAAAGAAAAAAAAGAAGCATTTTATGGTTAAATTTTGTTCCCTTTTTGCCTTGATTACTGCAGCACAAATATTTGCCATTTGTTGCAAAAGTTTCTCAATTTATGAGTTTGATAATTGATTCCATGCTTTTTCAATGACTCTAAGAGCTTTTCTTTTATTTTTTGGATGGAAAGCTTTCCTTCTACTGTCAAGATCATCCCAGGTTAATTCTGTGGGTGGCTTGAAATTTTTGAACTGTTATGTATATTGTATGTAATCCAATATTGTACATAATTAGATTGCAATAAAATGTGTATATTATATGAATACCATCTTATGAAAATTGAGATGTAATAGAGTTGGAGGCCCTGTATCATATATTCTAGCGGAATCACAAGACCCTTGCTAAACCAATGGTAAAAACTGAAAACAGTCCCTTGAAGATTATGGTAATGCAAACATACTAGATTTTTACCCAATCTTCTACCTACTGGCCAATGATTAGGTCTTAATTTTCATACATGTCAGTGTGCACCAAAAACTTACGGCCATATCATGTTGAAACATTGGTTCCTGTATGCTCACTGAAGTTAAGCAACATTGAGCCTGGTGAGTATCAAATTGGGTGACTGCTTAGGTGGGGAGATTACATTTAACATCCCAGACTTTTCCTTTCAATGTTTCCTTCTACCAAGTTTCTACCAGTCGTGACTTCACAATGGCTTACAGCCACATCATGTTGAAACACCGGTTCCTGTATGTTCATTGAAGTTAAGCAACATCAAGCCTGGTGAGTATCTAATTGGGTGACTACTTAGGTGTGGAGATTATATTAGACATATTTTTAGATTGCAAAATTATTTTTAGAGATAATGATTTAGAAATACATGTCCTACTAATTAACCCACAGCTGGAGGGAGAAGAATTGGATTCATAACTTTACCCAAAGGTATTTGTGTCTAAATGAATATAACAAATCCAGCCGAAATTGGAACTTGACTCTCCGATTTCCAGTTGCAAGCCATTATGGCTTACATTATGGGAATAAGCTTGAATATGCTAAAGTGGTTACCCATCTAGGTACTGACTAGGCTCAATGTTGCTTAACTTTGGTTATCATACCAGAATTAGTGTAATATGGCCACAAGCCTGCCTGTGACTGGAAATCCTTAATGTCCAGTGTTGTTTTCACTTGTTCCCAAAAGTTTTTATATATCATTCAATTCTCTTTTGGTCAAGTGGGTGGATGATCCAAAGACTCTACTTCACAGATCTTATTGCTGGTCATAAAACTTGAATCACCTGACACAGAGCTAAAATCACACACTATCCCCCTTCTATGTGGGTGTCCTAATCATAGTATCATGGCATGTTAAGATGTTTATATTTAAGTTTTCTGGTACTTCTGGATCAGATCATTTACTGATAATGTTGATTTCAATTGTTTATTTCATTACTTACCTTTAAGTCAGAGAGTTTGGGACAGCCTTCAGCAGAGATATCACTTCCAAAGACACAGTCTGGTATAACCAGCAGTGAATTGGACATTTCGGCTTCTTTAAGTTCAAACGTTTTATCATCAGTACATAAAATTGCATTATTGTTCTTCTCACCTCGAATCACAAGGCTGAAAATATAAAAAAAAAAACATAAAAATAAAATTAAATAAAAAATAAAAAATCAAGTCTTATGCTTGTATCCAATCTCAACAAATTAGTTAACATGAATTTTTCACTTTTTTAAAAAAAAATTTTTTTTGATCAAATGATTTGTTTTTTATGGCTTATCAACCCTTTGTAGGTTATTTAAACCAAAACATACTTTTGGATTGTGAGAATAATTTTATTTTGCAAGAGAATATTCCTGATACAAACCCTACTATTTAATTATTATTATTATAATTATTTGGGGGTAGTGGAAGAGATGAATATGCTTGTAAGTGAATGTAACAAACTTGACTGGAATTTGAATTTGAACTCGGCTCTCTGATTTCTCATTCAGAGCCACTATCCATTACACCACCCACACACCCCTTTTAATAGAAATGCGTTGCAAAAATGCAGCGCTATAGAGTCTTGTGCACTGAGAAATATTTGGTAACAAAGTGTTTCATAGAACCAAGATACTTTTTGTCATGAAATGAATAGTCCAAGAATGATGAAAATGGAGGATGAAGAATTATCATATTTGACATCATGTAAGGCACACTATTTTTATTAAAAATATCATTTAAAAATTCCCCTGCATCTTATATGTCATATGTAGTTTTAAAATTCATGATAGCTGAAATTGGCTACCTGGCAACTCCTATTAGCTTAGACTTTAGAGTAACTTATATATAACTATTGTCATTATTTAAAAGGCTATTATACAGATTAAGTGTTATCATTGATAATATTCATTAATTTTTTTGTGCGATACCCTGTCTTCATCTGCTGCCGGCCAGGGGTGATATCATGGTTTCGGTAGCTATGGCATGACCGCCACCCTTGGCGCCACCAGTAGCATTTGCCACCAGGCAGGGTTTGAAGATAAGCTAATTGATCATTCCTTTTTGTAAATTCTATCCATAATGAAAGTTTCCTGAACGCATTTGCCGTTCTTGACGCACTCATAAAAATCATAATAGATAACCGCGCAAATATTTCACTTGCGCATGTCAGGTTGTGATGTTGCACGCATTTTATATGCTTGTTTTGATCTTGACTAAATCCAACTTGACGCATGTTGAACAGTTTTTTGAATGCGATGCAAAACACTTTTCAACCAATGGCCAGTGATGCCTATTTTTGAAAGAAAGGAAATGACCGAATGTCCCAGAAACCCACGACACCCAATCTCAATAGGCATCACGTTATACGTCCAACCATTTTCCATACATTCAGCACGCAGTGACTCGTACCGGTTTTTCTTTAGTTCATGCGCCTCCACCCTGTTCTCTTCCCAAGGGACTGTTAACTCTATTAGGAAGACAGTCTTTTTTAAGTCGGACCACAACACAATGTCGGGATGCTTGTCTGTCTGCGCGATGTGTATTGGAAATTTTAAGGATGTCATTAGATCCATTGAAACCTTCTAATCACTGGCACCACTCAGCAGCTTTATATTGGGGGCTGTTTCATCACATTTAATATTAGTATTTTGTTTCACTCAAATTATATGCAAAAAATTCAAATTATATATTTGTAAAATATATCTGTTTCATTAATATTTTTCTTGCGATAATTTCCGGTTGCATTAGTATAAATACAATCAGAATTTTTATATCCTAATTATTCCACTAAGTCGTTTACAAGACGCAGGTTGTATAAATCTTATAAAGGAACATTTTTGACTGAATTTTAATGGTAACTGTACTGTTTTGCTCAATTGTAAGAAGCATTAATTTATATGAGAACAAATATTTCCAGACCCCAACATAAGCACCTACTTGCCTCGACACTGAAGTTCAAGATTTTATAACAGTAAGCTCAACTATTTTTTTATACAAAATGTTCACCCAATACAAGGCCCAAGAGCTGCTCAAAGTAGAGGATTACTAAATGAGGTTGTTGCAAAGAGAGTATAGGAGAGTAAAGAGGAAGTAACTGCAGATTATTGATTAATTCATTCATTTTTTACAGCTTATCAAGCCTATTTTTGGATTGTAAGAATTTTTTTCTTGGAGATAATAATGATTTGGCAATACAAGTCTTACTAATTAACTCATAGCTGGGAGGAGGAGGAGGAGAAGTGGATTCATACCTTTCCCGAAGGTATTTGCATGTAAGTGAATATAACGATCCCAACTGGAATTTAAACACAGCTCCCCAATTATGAATTGGAAGTCATTATTGCATCACATTCAAGCTTGCAGTATCTGGTATCCACAAGTGGTCACTAATCTGATAGGCTTGTGGTTGCTTAAATTTGGTGATTGTACAAGAAGCGGTATCTCAATGTGATGTAATGTAGCTGTATGCTGCCTAATTGCTGATTATGAGTATATATATACAATAGGTAAAGGATGACCTTAGACATGAAGAGGTTAAGATTGTAGCATTCAGGAGTCTGTTCCATAAATTAGCTGGCCTTGGAAAAAAACATTCAGAATAAAACTTCCTCCTTACAAATGGAGTACAAAGGGAATAACAATGGTTTGACTCTGTGTACATGGCATGGCGGGTCTCAGCTGTAAAGGTCTGAACTGACAGAACTCCGTAGTGCATCCTGACGTAAGATTTCCATGGAAATAGTGATAGAGTGGCGAGAGGCAATCAATACTCATGTATTATAATCTTTTCATATAGACAAAAACAATTTATTCACTACAAAGATGCAACTTTGTTTCAGTGCATTTCAATTGCACTTCAACTTTATACTAAATAATTATTCCTCTATTATCGGTATTATGTTCTCTTTTGAATTAATGCTGTGAATGTTAGAATTTACATATCATTTTTATATACATTTTATAGTCAAATTCGTTACATTCACTTACGCACAAATACCCTTTGGAAAATTATGAACCCCATCCCCTCCCCCATATGGATTAAATATTAGGACTTGTATCAGAATAAAAAAAAAAAAAATCATTTTCATGTCCAAAAATTGTAAATGCAATAACTCTGAAAACAATAAGAAAAGAATTATTTTTAATTATTCTGACAATACAAAATATGTTTTAACTAGGCTTGTCCCTGGTAACGCTAAAAAAAGTGGTATACCCTGGAGAAAAAAAGTCCCCCAAATTGATAAAAAAATTTTTAACGTGTAAATGTTTATGTTAAAATTAAAGAGGAAAGACCAAAGTATTTTTTGAATATTTTTTCAGATTTTTTAATCCTTCCTATAAATTTTAAAAATTTTATTTAAAAATCTCGTTTTTCTTGAATCAAAAAAAATTTAGTAAATTCGATTTATCGGCCATTTCTGCCCGAGTTTGTAAACAAAAAATTAAAATTAGTTCAAAAATCAATTAAAATTCAGTTACACCTTTTTTTTTGTTATCTTAGGAAATTTAGAATGATTAAAGTATACTTAATGTAATTTGAAAGAAACATTACTTACTTTTTTAGCAGAAAATTTTTTAATAGAGATATTTCCAACTGTAGTGCTTGCTTAGGTGCGTGATTGAAGGGTGTTAATTGATGGGTGCCAATATACTGACAACTTAGGTAAAGGGAATTTATCGTACGGTAGCGCAGAAGTGATTTAATTCGTTCTAATTTTAAGTGAACATGGTTAGTAAATTTAAAAAAAAAAATAACTTTCAATTTTTTTTTTTTTTAACCTTACGTTTGAAGAAAAATTTCTGCACTGAAAATAACATTTAAATTATGAAAAAAATCAAATTTTACATGTAAAAATAAAACAGTATCAACATTTTTTTAAATTGAGTTATACATATTTTATTTATCAATAAAATTAATATTGAAATGCTATGTAATCGATTTCAAATTTTGCTTTGTTGTTAACTGAATGAATGCAAAGTAATTTCTGAAGTAAAAAGAATTTGCTTCTATCTAGGGAAACAACTCTACCTCACATGATGTTATTTCAAAGCTGTGCATCCATACTTTCGTTGGAGACAATTTTAAATACAATTTTGGAATATTAAAAAATTATTTTAAAAATATCAACGTTTGTCAGATTTTAATAAGCTTTCAAATTTATGATCTATAAGTAGAGAACATATTATTTCCATAAGGCTTCATAAAGAAACTTAATTTTAAAATATATAACAACATTTTGTCATATTGTGTATTTAAAATAGAAAAAAAAGAAAAAATTATTGTAAAAATTCATTTTTCATCAAAATTTTTTTTTTTTTCATATAAGAATTACCTTAGTATATGTTATTCAGAAAAGTCATAAAAAGTTTTTTAAATTAAATATTGTCTTAGTTTTATTGGGTTTTGTATTTTTACAATTGAGGTAAAAGTTTGGACAATTTTGCACATTTTTTTACAAAAAAAAAAAAAAAAAAAAAAATCGATGATTTAGAATCTTCAGAGTCTTGTGCATTTAACTGAAAAATTCAGGCTTTGAAAATAAATTTTTGAAGTTTTCATAAAATTAAGTTCGAGGGGTGTAACAGATATAAAAAAAATATATTTATACCATGACTTTCAAAAAGACAAACATTTCTAAAATAATTTCATTCATTTGTGAATAAGTTCTGAAAGTTTCATTAAAATCCAACAAGTACTTGATTTTTGCAAGATTTTCCAAATCAATGTGTTTTTTTCAACTGAAAACAGTGAAAAACAAGTAATGTTAATATTACCTAATTTTTGACCTAAAAAAAAACAAGATTTTCAACCTAAATTTAAAATATGCTGCAAATGAAAAAAAATTTTTTAAAAATAATTAAAAAATACCTTGGTCTTCCCTCTTTAATTTTAGCATAAACATTTACACGTTACAATTTTTTTTTATCAATTTGGGGACCTTTTTCTCCAGGGTATACCACTTTTTTAGCGTTACCAGGGACAACCCTTGTAAAAAAAAAAAAAAAAAAAAAAACGAAAACAAAATCTTTAGGCATTGAAAGTATCTAGCAAACCTCGACTGAGCCTATGTAACACACATTCGGAATTCCCAATCGGCATACACCTGATGAAGTCCAGAGGTCACAACGGTCGAAAGGTTGTGATAACAAAGAGGACAATAGTCAGCACGTGAAAATTGATAACCAGTTCAGAAATTTAAAAATTAAATTTTAAGAGTAGCCTCCCTTTAAAGATTCCATAGTTATCTCCCTTGAAAAAAATTTTCTGCCCGTTTTTTGACCATAAGAAAATATGATGAAAAAAAAAGAAAAAAAAAAAAGGATTTATTTAATAAGAGAAATATTCATTTTTCAACATACTATCCTTCCTTGTCAATGCACTTAATTCAAGGGAGAATATTAATCATACACTTCATCTATATGAACCAATAGATTTCTTCTCTAACTTTCTGCTATTTTATCTAAATGATTAAACATTTTATATATATGTTTCATTAAAGACGACAGACAAAGTACTGCAATTAAGCTTTTTATATAATTTTTCTTGTGTTCGAAAAAGTGCTTTTTTTTCTAGACTCAGAGTGTGTAGAAGCTCTCCAAATCTTGTGTAATTCCGAGCATTTTCGGCTATATCTTTAGCCATTATCAAGGATGGTTTTATTTTTACTTTTTAACTGGATGTATGGTCATAGAATACAGTCACAACACATTTTCCACCTCATTGTATAAAAAAACACTATCACAAACTTTTTACACTTTAATTTTAAGAGTGAATTCTCACTCAGATACAAACTAGCAGCAATAAAAAAAAAAAATTCCTAAAGAGAGTACACAAGAATTCATCATCTCTACTTTTCCTTAAAGAACTCAACAATGCAAAACAGACACGAGTTAACAATGGTTTTCCTAACCACCTCATTGACCACCAGATTAGACTATTTCTTTCCAAAGTAAATAACAATAGTGAACACACAGACAAAAGTAACAAATATTTTCTACAAAAGCCAAATACACATCAACTATAAATAAGATGAATCTTTACTTAGAAATATTATAAAGAAATACACTATCCCAGTTGACCAGAACAAAAAAAAATAAATTATCTACTACAAAAAATTTAAAACAGCTGACCTTATCCTCAAAAATAACAACACACCTGCAAAATCAAAACTACGATGAACCAACATTATTTAAGAGTTCAAATGCCCCTTAAGGAACTATGTTCCTGATCAAACGGAACCCTATATATATATATATATATATATATATGTATTATAATCTTTTCATATAGACAAAAACAATTTATTCACTACAAAGATGCAACTTTGTTTCAGTGCATTTCAATTGCACTTCAACTTTATACTAAATAATTATTCCTCTATTATCGGTATTATGTTCTCTTTTGAATTAATGCTGTGAATGTTAGAATTTATATATCATTTTTATATACATTTTATATTTTAAAATATTATTTTGACAACTTAAATATATTATTTTTACTCTTAATTACTTAAGAGTAAAAATAATATTTTAAAATTGTAGTTCAATATAACATATTCTAACCCTAACACCCCTTTTAGAAAGAATCTTTAAGTATACAAGTACTAATTTAACAGAAAAAATGCCAAAAAACTTTAAACATTAATAAAAAAAACAGATGGCATGCGTTGTCCCTAAACTTAACCTCTTTTTCAAACATAACTCATAATTGATACAACAATAGTTAATAAAAATGAACACGCTACTGCCCTTGTCTAAATGATTGGATTTCTCTGTATCCTTGGAAGCAAGAAATTATGAATTATATGTGCGTTTAAAACCCAGTAAATTTAAAAATAAGTTATTTCAAAATTCGCTTGAAGATGATACAGAACTAATGCTTTTAATTTAATTATATAATTAAATTTGAAGTTTTCAGCTTCGGTTTTTGAAACATGGTAATTCCTGTGTAGCGAAGAAACCATATTTTAAATCAGCTAATTTATAATATTTATGCTCTGTAAATTGACATTGAGCACTGTTTTGTAAAAATAAAAATATCAATAAGAACACTGGATTATATATCTTACTGTTCTTTCATTTTTATTATAATATATATATATATATATATATATATATATATATATATATATGATAGAGAGAAAAAAAGAGAGAGTGAGATAATTGTACACACAAGCACAAATCAAAGAGGTTAAAGAAAAAAATACCTTTTCCCAGCTTCCAGTGTTTCCAAAGTCTTCTTGTCAACCTCCAACAATTTAAGTTTTTCATTGTCGAGTTCTTCAGAGAAATTGATGCATTGCGTAAATGGCTTGATGTCTGAGATTTTCAGCTTTGCAAATTCAAGAATCCTTTGCACTTCTTCCAAAGTTCTGTAGAATGACCAGAAAATAAGAAATTAATTTTAGAATGGATGACCACACCACAGCGATCATTAAAAAATCCTTTTAAACTAGTCATATATTAATTTTGAATAAATGACTCAACAATTTTTTTTTAATTTTTATTTTAAGCATAGTTTATTTGGGCCAAATGTGGGGTGCCCAATGAGGATAAAATTCACTATAGCAGTAATGATCTACCAGAATAACTTACTAAACTATTGCATGTTAAGTTAGCTGATCCAGTTCAAAATGGATTGGTCTTTGGACATGCATGCTTTATCTTTCAAATAAAACCAAAATTTTACTTAAAAGGAGACATTTAAATTAGTTTAAATGTATTTTTAATAGACTTTCACCCAAATTTTGTAAGGATTTAAATTATACCATATAACAGGTGTAAAAAGTTCTGTAACAATTTGTAATGAATTTAGATATTGTTAAGTTTAGCATTTCAAATGAATCCTGTATATCCAACATTGATTTACTTTCCTTATATAGAATTTTTTTTTTTTGTAAGCAGATTCGTATTTAGAGTGCTACTTTGGATTTGAAGATATGCATGCAAAATTTTTAAAAAATGCATTGGAATTCCAATATATTTAAAAATTTTTTGTACGTAAAAACGCAAACATTTGCGACCATATTCTTATTCAGTACGTCACACTTCCAAATCCTAAAGAAGGAATCAATTATTATCTGAAACCTGCTTAAAAAAAAAAAAATTATATGCAGATTTCATTTGAAATGCTGAACTTAGCAATATGCAAGAATTCAACTATTTTCACTTTTTAAAATATCTGCAACAGGAGTGCACTTTATTAAAAAGAACAATAAAGGAATTATTTTATTTTGAATCAAACCTAAATAATTTGGGCAGATCATGTGATATATGGGAACCAAATAGGGAGTGATTTCATTATCTCAAAAAAGGGGGGTGAGGGGCGATACCTAAGGTTTAAAATACATTAAAAAAAAAAAAAAAAAATGAAAAAAAATCTTTCTTGAAGCGTTTATTTTTGTTTTAATTGCAACCTAATAGACAAAATTCGATTAAATCCATAAAATATTTTTAGACTGTAAGAATTTTTTTGCTTTTGGGAAAAAATAATGGTTTAGTGATACAAGTTTTACTAATTAACCCATAGCAAGGGAAGAAGAGATGGAATCATACCTTTCCCAAGGGTATTTGTGTGTAAGTGAATATAACGATCCCAACAGGAATTTGAACTTGGCTCTCTGATTAACAATTTTGAGTCTTTGTTCACTACACCACCCAGACATCCATGCTTACAGCACCTCATATTCCCATGTGGTCACCCATCTACATACTGACCAGGCTCGACGTTGCTTAACTTCGGTGATTGAACTGGTTTTCCAATGTGATGTGGCCGTATATAGATTAAATTTAATATATATAATCAGCAATATACTTTGCTATGTCAAATTGAATTTAAATTGATTGGAATGATGTAAAAATAAGAAATATTTTTTAACAAGATTTCCTAGAAAGAAAAATTTCTAAAATAATTTCATTAATTTATAAATAAGTCCTGAATATTTCATTAAAATCCAACAATTATTTGATTTTTGCAAGAATTTCTAAATCATTGTGTTTTTCATTGCAAAAAAGGCTCACCATACTAATTTATGGGACCCTGCTGAGGCAAGAGAAAAGAAAATTAATCATAATTTTGAATGTTCTAAAATGGATCAAAATTTTGAAGTTTTTAAAAAGGATTAAAAATATAATTTAATAACCAAAAAATTCTTTGGGCTTTCCTCTGAATAATAACAAAAATTTTGACAATGAAAATGGTCTTATTTAAAGATTGGGGCATTTTTCATCATGGTATGCTATTTTTTTTTTTTTTTCACAAATCAGTGGTGGTACCTATAAAAAAATAGATTTTTCTTCTTAATAATAAAAGGTTTTGTTGATAAAATTTTGTTTTTATTTGGTTTTGTGCATTTTTTCCTTATATATATATATATATATATATATATATATATAAGGTTTAAAAATAAAAGGATAAAGTTTAAAATGAAAGGATATATATTTCAATATGTTTGGAGAACTGAATGACAAAATGAAAACAATTACTTGGTGGAGTTGTACAATAATATTTACAAATAATGTAACAAAACAATAAACACACTGACCAGAAATGATCATTTTTTTTAAAATTTTATTTGGTTAATACATAATCTAGAGTATTTTTATTTTTCCCATAAATTACTATCAATTAAACACAGTCTAGATTACGATATTACAAAAAGAAAAAAAAATCACGTGATATGAACATGGTTTGTTTTGTCTTCCGTAGGAGAGTGGGGAGGGGATCAATTTACAATAAATTTACATAACAGTCTCCGCCCCTTTCGCAATCCACCACAGTTTCTACATCACGTGTTCTGTCTCCAGGGAGGGATTTTTTTTTTTTTTTCAGTCTGAAAAAATTACTTTTAGGGACGAAATGCGTCACGTAAGAAGATCTTTTGTTTACTTTTTGACGATCGGATCATACAAGTTTTTTTTTTTATCCACTCTTCTAAAATGTCGAACTTTTTTGATGCTATTAACAAAAATTCATTATTTTTTGTAAAGATATTAGCATTGATAGAATTGATTTAATGACAGACGTAAATAAAAACAAAAAAAAAACTTTTTTCATAATAAACATACTAACCTTTCTTCCTTTTGGTCATTACTTGACATTAGGTTGCTTGACATATTTCGCGCGTTTACAGGCAAAGCAAGCAAAGCTAATTTAGCCGAACATTCGTACTTTCTCGAAAGACTCAATGTTACATGTTTTCTCTTAAAATTTTTCTAAATCCTTTTTTTTTTTGTTGATGTTTTAAACAAAAAAATAATTTCAATCATATTTATTTATATTATTTTGAAACATATGTAACTAATACTGCTATTAACTGTAAATTAAGTAAAATAAAATGTATGCTACGGATGTACAAATGTGTAATAAACTGTACAGTAATTGTGACTATTTTCGGAACCGACAGCCTGTCCAATTTTCCTCGCATAATTTATCTGAACACCTACCTACGCCTTCCTCCACTTAGATTAGGATTATGGTTAGAGAACATAAGATGCCATGTGCGAAGATAGACAAGTCTTTGTGACCATAGATTAACCCCCTCCTTTTTAGTGCAGTGAGGGAGGTGCTGCTACAGGATTAGAATCCTCTGAAGTTTGCTTTCTTTATCACAAAAAGCATGACCTGACTAAAAGCAGAAACAAAGTATAGAAGAAAACAGATACTACGCTTTGATCCCAGACCGAAGGAATGTTGAATCCTATGCTATGCTGAGGTAATCATAAGGATGACAATGGCAATAGAATCTTCTTTTTTTTAATCATCTAAAGATTTAGAAAAAAAAGCAGGGCAATAAAGCCACTAAAACGCAAGTGGGGATGTACTGAGTGTGAAAGAATATTAGCAAAAGAAAAACGTTATTAAACAGCGAGAACAATAAAAGAGGAATTAGAGAAGACGTAAGATAATGATTGACATTGCATTTAAATGTTTAAAGATCAAAGTTGACTGGGAAGTAAGAAGCTGAAAGAGAGTTCCACAAGTGAGAAGTGTGGGCGAACAAACTGTTAACTTAAAACTTACAGTTACATCTAGCAATTTCAGTAAAAAAAATGCTAAGCAAAGTTTTATACTGAAAAAAAAAACCATCAAATTTAGTCAAGAATTTGTATCTACTTATTACGCCAAGCCAAAAATCAAATACCGTCTTGGGTATGATGATAAACTACATCCAACAGCAAGGCCTCTGATCAGGAGGTTTTGAGGAGTGTAGAACCACCTCTTAATTGCTGGTGTTCCCAGGTCTACCCTGGCCTGAGGTAGTAGCACCTGTTAGGATCCCAGCTATGGGTAAATAGTTAACTCCCAAAACTGGGATCAAAACACTATGAAAGTATAAAAATAGGTTTTAATACCAGCAATACATTTTTGCAAAAGATTATTACCAGCATTGAATTTTTGAAAAAAAATATTGCCAGCCATGAAAATTTTGTTGACATTAAATAACCCATTGAGGTTGATACATTGTAAAACAAACCAAACCAAAACAAAATAAATTCTAATTGTTATATAAATTATAACATTTATATAAAATAAATAGAAATGTTTTTAAAACACTGCTGGCTCCAAAGCTAACTTTTGATACCAGTGAGAAATTTGTGACTATCTCGACTGTGAATCAGGCTATTTTATAAAATTTATATTGAATAGTGCTTACTTAGCATCTCTATCTATAAAAGGCAGGATGTGTGTATGTGTGTGTAAAGAATGCACAGCTGCAATTTTCGACGGATTTGCACCAAAATTTACATGCACATGCTCCAAGTTAGTGGGAAGGCCAAGACTGACTTTGCATTTCCCAACTCCCATTGATAGTGGAAATAATTGATTTTTTCATGCTCCTACGGCAGTCTTCATGTAGTTTGTGGCCATTTTCTACTGGCCAGAATGAGAGCCTATAGCTGGCTGCCATGAATAGGTAGGAAGATTCTTTTGGCCAGCGTGAGAGCCAACAGCTGACTGACATGAATGTTAACTAGCATGCTAGCATGCAAAAAATCGATAGCTGCATTCATCATAAGTGGGAAAAATTTAAATCTGCAAGGGACTTTACTCCAGTTGGCTCATTCGTTTGCTAAACAATGTTGATTCTAATTCCGCAGAACTGGGTTGGGTGTGAAAAATTATTTGCTGTTAACATTCTTTTTTCATTCGGTTTTTCCAGTTACAAGTCCTTTTTTAAAGCTGATCGTTTTGTGTTCATTTTGTTTAGTTCTTTTTTCGTAACAGATTTAATGTTTAGTATAGAGCTTAGAAAAAATTCACAGTGTGAGATAGGCAAGAAGTAAGGCATGTAGCAACATCAGCACGGCAAAGGGCACTCCTTTAAAGGCAAGGAAGGGCAAAAATATTTTAAGTCAAGTGATAGCGATTGCTATATGAGTTGTACGATTTTTTAATCAAGCACAGGCAACACCAGGCCATGCTGCTAGTAGCATATATATGGCACAAGGTCACAAGTATGGAAGACCCAATGATGATCGAACTAATTTCTCAGTTGGAATTTATCTGTGAGGTATTCTTGCTAACCATTACACAATGTTGAAAAAGTAGTGATGACTGTTATACTAGCTTAAAAGCCACCCTATTGGGAAAATGTATTTTTCTTTTATTATTATTCATTATTATTATTTTACTAGCCGAATTACTCATGCCTTCCTGTGTGTCCCACATTTTTTTGTAACAATTTGTGGAGAAAAATGATGCATTTCAATATTACTCAATGATCTTGCCATTGTGACCTCCATCTTCTGGCTTTCTCCTTCTATATTTTGGATAGGAGTCATTCTCTTGTTCAAATTTCAATTTAATTTAAATCAAAGGGGAAAAACAATTAGAAGGCTCGGAGGTTGTGACCCATGGTGACACACTTTGATCAAAATGAAATATAGTTATCCAAGTACCCTAGGAGTCATTCCCTTATTCAAATTTAAATTTAATATATATCAAAGGGGAAAAAATGTTCAGTGGTGGGAGGGTGCCAACCCCCCCTCCCCCCAGGAACCTGCTTTGATCAAGATGAAATATACTTATCCAAGTACCCTGGGTAATGTATTTTCAGAATATATATGGTTATGGGGATCTATCTTCAAAACCCTAGGAAGAGTTTAATAAACAAACAAAAGAGGCTACAACTTTATATATAGATTTATTGATTTTATTTCATCAGCTACAACTTTATATATAAATTTATTGATTTATTCATTTTTTTTGAAAAAAAAAAAAATAAAACAAAATTGTTATAACAATTCAGAAAAAATAAATTTGTTTTTAAAAAAAAATAAAAAGGAAAATTTACATGTAATTTAAAAAAAAAAAAGAATTATCAATTCACCAAATGCAGTATAAAAACTTGTCCCTCATGCACCAGCAACAAAATAAGGGTCAATCCTGCATTTTGTCGTTTTTTCTTAGTATTTTTTTTTTACAATAATGCACCCTGTACAAGGCCCAAGAGCCACTCAAGGTAAAGGGTTACAGAGTAAGGGGATATATGAGGAAGGTAATGGTTAATCCTAGACCTGAACATGTTAAGATTATATTGATCAGGGAAGCAAGTGAAACTTACATCTCACCAATGGAATATGAAGGGAATGTAGTTAGTTTGCTACAATGATATGATGGGTCTTAGTCAGTCATGAAGGTTAGAATTGGTGGAATTAAGGAATGTAGTTTGCCCGAACACTTTCTATAAAAATAGGGAATAAGCAGCGAGAGGCTTGCAACTTTTTGTCTGTGGGAAAGGGGTTGTAGGGTGGAAAATAATTCATCACCCACAAGGACGCGGAGACGCTTTTAGCCTCTGTTGAGACTAGAAAGTGAAGACTAGGCAGCGCCTGCCCACAAATGATAACAGTCCTAAAAAATGTGACAATTTAGAATCTAAATTTTAGATTATTAGTTTTTTCAGCAATAAGGACTGAGACATAATTCTACATGATTTTCGTTACACATTAATTTATTGTAAAGACAAATTTGATCTTGAAATAGAATGATATATTAAGATATTTTTTTTTCAGACAAAACAAACGTTTATATAAAATCTAGGGATAAGCAAGAATAAACAAAATTATGACATGTATTGTATTCCGTAGATTGTCAGGAGAGCGTTATTATTTTCACAAGGGACGTAACTTGTGTAATTCGGCGAAATTTAAACATGGAGGAAGCATTGTTTCTTAGGGATTGAAAGATGATTTTTCTTTATTTGGACGATCTGGGGATTAAAAAAAATTGAATTTCCGGACTCAGCAAAGCTGCGATGTTTATTTTACGGTGGACTTTGATGTAATATTGCTTTTAATATTCCAGATTTGTTGATAGTTTTGTTATAAACTTTGTTTTCACTAACGGTAACTTAGAAAAAGTCAGGTAAGTTTTAAAATCCGTCTTTCCTTGATTTGTATATTTTTTAGGTTTTGTTTGAAACTTTGATTAAAATCGAGACTAGTTGTTAAATTCTTTAGGCTTTTAAAATTAGTGCGTATTTTTAATTAGCAGTTTTAATTTGTTTTTCAAGGAACTCATACCAATCAATTAACCAGACCCCGTGTTAATTGTTAAAAAATAATAAAAATACAAAAAAAATGTATTTTCTTTTCCGTTTATAAAAAACTAAAATTATTTAAAATATCAAAACAAATCTTAAGTAAATAAAATATTTACTTCACTTTTAAAAAAAAAAATGAATTTAAACTCGAACATATGCTTATTTTTAGTTATCGGAGGTCTTATTGTTAAGTTTAGCGCTTCAAACGATTTCAGCATGAAGAAAACTGAAATCTCCCATGACTTTTTAATTAAAAATAAAAAATCACAAAACAAACTAGCCTCATAACTCTCCTTTTGATTGATTACTAAGCATCAAACAAAATAATAAAAAACGAAACAAAAAAAAACCCTACACTTTTGACTTTTGAGACTTTAGTGTCGGATTCAAATTTTTAAATAAAATATTTTCGAGTTCTTAAATAACCTGATTATAAATATTATTAGTAAAATTTTATTGAGTAGAAAATGTTCTCACAAAATTAAATCTTGTTTCAAGAAATATTTTTTTGTAGATTAGCCATTCATAAGACTTCACTCAAGCCTCTTGTTAAAAAAGTTTGATTTTTTTTTTTTTTTATCAATTTAGAAAGCGGGGATCCTATTCATTATACAGTGTCAAATTGATCCCTGAATTTTTAGAGTTATTGGACTTAGTTGTTATTTACAAATCTGAAATTTGAAAATGTGCTTTACTTTTACATTGATGCATTTTTTTTTAATTTTATGAATTTTTTTAAGCATTTAAAACTTTTTGTGGGGAGATTTATTTTAGAAGTACATACACAAACATTGGTGGAGGATAAGAATTATTTATATTATGATATGTCCCGGAAACGGATATATTTAATTGAAGTAGCTAAGTAGTGGTTTTGACTACTTACTATAACCAAGTAGTACACGGTAGCAGTAATCGACCGGTAGTCGCAGGTAATAAGTGTAGACCAATAGGATAGTCCAATGGGCATCGTCATAGACTTTAAACTCTGTCATACCTATACGTCTGTCAGTATTTATGACGGACACCAGCCAATCATATTCCAATGAGGGGGAACACAGGTATATGCATATTCCATTATATCATATTAAATGAAGAATAAATGGATATATACTTTTCTTAATTTATGTAAATTTTTATTCTTTAATTAAAAATGTCTACCAGTTCTTTATTTAAAAAATCTGTGAGAATTTCTTCTCACACAGGTCAACCCTTGGCAGAGACAAGAAAGACAACAATCAACAAGGCCTACCTTAAAACTTAAAACAAATTTTATTGTATCCTTGCAAAAAAAGACTTTGCCCTTTTTTGCACCTGGGGACAGGGTAGGGTAGTTCTTCAATGAATAGGTAGTGTCTTTTACTTCAGTAGGACACAATTGGTCTCTACGAAGTTGGAGAAGCAGGTATTTGCTGGAGTTGAAACTCGGCTGTTGTCGAGATCATTCTTAAAGTTCTTCGTGTAAACGTACACATTTGACGACAGTCATTATGACTGAATTCTGCAGCCTTGAAGGAATTAAGCTGGGACATGAAGTCGTCTCTGAAGCATTACCATTTGGTTGCTGAAAGGAATCATAGCCTAATTATTTAGGCTTGTTCTCGGGCGCTAATAGCCCTGCAAAGATATTCAAAATAAGTCCGGACATTTCTAATAATTTTCCGCGACAGGTAGAAAGGAATCTTAGCCTAATTATCTAGGCTTGATTTTGGCACTAAAGGCCAAGCAAAGACAATCAAAAATGAGTCCGGACATTTCCAATAGTTATCCACAACTGAGTCAAAGGGGTGCGGGCCGTTCTAAAATGCCCGCAAAAAAACAAATCAAAATCCGACCAATGAAATTGGTTGTTACAAATCAGCCAATAGGTGCTTAAATTGCAGAATTTCTTACAAATCTTTTGTTAAAAAATGTCTGTTTTCATACACAAAACAGTTAAGTCCAGATAACTGTTCAAAAAATCTCTAATTGATCTTCTTACACTATATTGGTATTATGAAAAGTATAGTGAACAATTACGTAAAAGTAATTGAGTCAGAGTGCCTTCTGGTGTAAAGGAAAATAATAACTTCCTTACTTCAATATGTGACATGTAGCAGGAATGTTTTATTCCATTGAAAATGGCACAAATGCCCCCCCCTCCTCTTTAGTTATTATAACTGAGGAAATGGTTGCGGCTACCATTTCACCGGGTGGAGCTGATAAACATCCAAATGTTAAACATTGGGAGGATATGCAATGATATCGATGCTCTGGGTGGAATCACCTTTCCAGGCTTTTACACAGATGAGTGCAATTTGACCAGTAGCAATCTGCATTCTGATTGGTTGAATTGAAGGATGACAAATGGCTGTGTGATTGAAGTCATTCGCATGCAAATCATGGTCAGTCCTCGGCTGTATAAAGCAGGCGCGTTTTTGTTTCTGAGGGGGGAGTTTTTTTTTTTTTTTTTTTTTTTTTGCTCGTGAGAAGGTTGGACGCGTGACACTATTTTGTTGGTTACCCTCCTCGCGTTTCCTATCTGCTATTATCAGTTGAGTCGTTGCTTTACCACCACAGGAACTCTATACAATATTTTTCAATTCTGACAAATGTGGCTTGAGGGGAGTGTGAGGAACGAGAAGACTTACCTCCCGCAATGCGAATTTGCTTGGCGTGTCAGGTCCTGTTTAAAGATCGCGACCGCCATTAAAAATGAAATGCATTATTCCAAAATTCCTATCTCATGGGCAGACGTACAAAGGAAAAGACTAAGAATTCAAAACCAGCTTAAATTTATAAAACAGGAAGTCTCAGTCGAATGAGAATTAAGTCTCATATGCAAATTTTAGTTGCCCCCCGACGCAGGCATAAATAGTGAGTCTGTGAGGAAGACGGGAGAACTTTTGTTGGTGTGACGACTTACGTACGGATGGACGAGAACGAGAGAATAAGGAAGAGGTCACTTGAGACAGCTCAGTTGGTAGAGCAGAGGACTGGAGAAAAAAGCAAGCACTTTAATCCATTTCAGTTATCGCAAACGACTGGCGAACTAAATTAACCACAGGGAGGTCTATGTCCTGGATATGGCGATAAACTACATCTGCGTCCTGGGTAATATGATAAACTACGTCCAACAGCAAGGCCTCTGGTCAGGAGGTTTTAATTAGCATGGAACCACTTCTTAATTGCTGGTGTTCCCAGGTCCACTCTGACCTGGGGTGGTAGTACCTGTTAGGTCCCTCGCTATCGGGTAAAAACACTATGAAAGTGTAAAAATAGATTTTAATACCAGAAATCCTTTTTTTAAAAAAATTATTGCCAGCAATACATTTTTGAAGAAAAAATATTACCAAAAATAGATTTATGAAGGAAAAAAATATTACCAGCAACAAAAATTTTGTTGGCATTAAATAACCCATTGAGGTTGATAAGCCATGAAACAAAACCAACCAACCAAACAAACCAAACCACAGGGAGGTCTAAGGAAGGCTAATCTAAAAATATTATTTATTTTAAAAAAAATTAATTCACCCCAAGCAAGACAATAATGCCACTAAGACGGAAGGAGCTACTGGGAGTGAAAGAGAATGAAAAAGACTTTAGAAGGAACCGGAAATCCAATCTTAAACAGTAAATAAGGGATATACCTCTGCTCCTGTCCCAAATACCAGGGAGGAGTGTGAACTGGATAATAGGTGAACTTATGTACTCCTATAGTGAGGGGAAAAAAAAATAGTAAATAAAATTTCGATGTTTAAGTAGAGTATAGGAGTATAGAGTTGAAGTAGAATTTTGAAGGAATTGAAAACCCAGTCCTAAACAGGAAACAAGGGATAAACCTCTACTCCTGTTCAAAAATCTCTGCAGGGTCTTTTTGGACATTGTTTCTTCTTGGTTGTATACTTTGACCATCTATTCTTAGATGTTTTGTCTTATTTGATCACCAAGCAAACATTTTCACAAATTGCTTTTATGTTTTTTTTTTTTTTTTTTTTTTTTTAAACAAGTGGGTCAGTCTACTTAGTGCCATTTAATATTTTTTAAAATGATTTAATTTACAAATTTATGTTTTATGTAAAATTTCAGATTGTCGAAGGACAATATGAATAACAACAAAAGGAAAACTTAGCTGACATGTTTCGTCCTCTGAGTGACGTTATCAAAATCCTTGCATTTACTTTGATAAAGTCCCTCAGAAGATAAAATGTGTTGGCTAAGATAAGTTTTCCTTTTGTCTTTCTTTAAGTTTTAATTGATGAATTGAAGCTAGGATAACCAAAATATAATTTATTTAAAATTAAAATTTAAAAGTGAAAATCATCATAATGTGTTGACTGTTAGAAGTTAGTGTCAAATTCTGACACCAAACACCATCTTAGGCAACAAAATGTACTTTATGAGATAATTTACAGCTTCAACTGAAGACTTAACATTGTTTTCACTCTAAAAGCATCACTGAGCAATTTGTGAAATCTTTGTTGGGCTAAATAACACAAAATGTCAAAGAACTAATGCGATAGCACTGCATTATTTAGAAGCTATGCCACCAACTGAGAATGAATGACATTCGGCCAAACCCTGCAGAGTGAACTGCCAGGTAAATTTTTTTTTAACTATTTTTCATCTAAGAGCCACTCAAGGTAGAGAGTGACAGAATGAGGTTATTGCATGACATAAAAAGTGGAGGAGATCAGTAGTACAGTTTATGAAGATTTGAGAGAAAGATAAGTTAACCCATGTGAAAAGATTAAGATTGTAGTGATTGGGGAAGCATCCTCTCAGGAGTCTGTTCCACAAAGTAGCAGTTCTTAGGGAGAGTTGTCTGAGTGGAACTTTCTTCTTA